TGGCCGTAACTCAAAAAGTTTTAGTCGGAATCACATCAAACTTTCTACACAGTGGGATAATTATGGAGCTAATTTCTGGAAAAAACCATGGCTAGACTTTGTAAAATTTTCATGTGCTCAGTAGTTTATAATTATTTATTATTCAATGGCTCCATTTGCAGTGAACAACCACCAATATAAAATAAAAATTTCCCTTTATTCTGAGTATGCCCAATGATACAAAATCTTCCAATCAACAAATGACCACATAAAACTCTCGTTAATATTTGAGATCAAAATTAAAAAATCACCTTAAGATATCTATCAATGATGGAGACTGTGAGGTAGAGTGTCTCCTGCAATAAAGTGAATCTGTGATGAACTTGAATCAGCCAGTCGATCAGTATGGCTCTCATTCTGCCATCAATGTGCTTCTGGTCAGCCATATAGGTTGGAGGAACGTGATACTGGCACTAGAAATAAAACAAGAAAGATAAATCATTGCCGTTAAAAAACTCTATAAAACAGAATGAGGGACTAAAATTTGGCAAATTGCTAAATTTTGGTAATTGGCGAATTTTAATTTGGCAAATTAGTGGCCACGTGCAATTGAGCATGTGTATAATGGCTCAAAATGGCAGATTTTATTTTGGCGAATGGCTATCAAAACACCAAATTCACCAAATATAATTCCCTCCAAAATTTCCCACTATGCAGGGTATGTTATTAATAGTAACTGTAACACGTGCATCTTGTGGATTTTTTCCAAAGCAAATAATTGCAATGCCAACGTAATTGTTATAAAAATACAGACTGTGTACATGTACATGTACATGTATGCGAAAGTTGTGAATAGCTAAAGGCAGACATGAACAAAAACACATATACATGTACATGTACATACATGTACATGTTAAGAGTTAAGTATGTACATGTACATGTACATGCACATGTCTACTCTTGACACATATCAAATTACATAAAGATCAAGAAGAAGGCTCATAGCTTCAAGTGTTATACAACTACACAATGTAACCCATACTCATCAATCAACAGTTCCAAGCACTAACTGTTGAATTCCCACAAAAAATAAATAATGATTTGAATATTATAAGATATTAATGATGCTGCAATTAATCTACAACTACAACTACGTGTGTACTTACTTCAATGTCTCTCATGTACATGTATATGTCTTTAGCATATTCGGAGCACAATTGAGGATTATCTGGTTCTTGGGAATCGATATCATTAATCTGTAACTGCTCAGAGAATGCTTCTGAGATCTGTCAAAAGAGAGAGAGAGAGGGAGAGGGAGAGAGAGGGAGAGAGTGAGTGAGTGAAAATGAAAAAGAGAGAGTAATATTGCAATAAGTTATGTTGTTACATCATGATTAAAGGAAATGTCAACAAGTACAAACAACAATGACAGGATCATCAATGAGTGTGTGTGTGTGTGTGTGTGTAGCTATTTATAGTAACAATGTGATGACAGCAACAGGATCATATTCTATTTATAGAATTACAATATCATCATTATATTCACAGGCTCAAAGTTCGTTCAGTTAAATGGGTGGCAATAACATACATTATATCAATGAAAGTAACACACAGAGACACTTCATTCTATAATGAACAAGGACACATTCCATATGCATACATACATACATGTAGTGAGATGTGGGGACATCTCACTATAATACTAATGCAGGTGGTAATTAAATTACGTATTATTGTAGACTATAACACATTTATAATCAAAATCAGTCAAAATTCAGCAAATTAATATCAAATTGAAGCTCTGCAATATATTCAATAGCCATTAAAGAAATGGTGCTAGAATCGCGAAACCACAAAAGTTATTTCCCCCCAAAAATACATTTTAATATAATTAAAGGGCTATGCATACGGTACCTGGACAACGTCCATGGATTCTGGAGAAGGTGATTCTGGTATAACGTGTTCCTCGGTGATATCATCTTCATCATGAACCACTGGAGGATCGGCCATGAAAGGGGCCAGGTGACTTGGTGGAGCGACCGGCTTTAAAAGAGACGGTTTCTGCTTCATAGCCTGGAGAGACATAAATAAAAAATAATAATAATCCTGATAATTATGTATTTTTTTCTTACAACGTGAGGTGGGTTCGACTCAATCATATTGTTCTGTATAGAGCCCAGGGCTGGTCTGGCTTTGAGTTCTGGCACTCGAAAATGAGGACGGGCTAGTTTCCCTGCCATGTTTTCTTGGCTCACTTTAGTCTAGAGAGAGAAAGAGAGAAAGAAATAGAACAAAACTATACTGCACAAGGGCCTACTTGATGCCTGTACTGTAGGGCCATCACTACGTAATCTCGATTGTACTAACAAAATCTTAAAACTTATTAATAAGCAAAAAGCTGAAAGGCTACAAAGCTGAACAAGAAGCAAAGAAGAGAAGAAAGAAGCAAGAGAGAGAGAGAGCTACCAGCAAGAGAGACCGCGCTGCTATCCTTTTCAAATTTAAAATAAAGGAGGAGCATATGAGAATTGGCCAATCAGAATCAGCTGTGGGTAGGATTTGAAAATGATCACGTGACCTTGTTTATTTTGGAATCAAAAATTAAAAAAATACAGTTGCTTGGAAACAAAATTTAAGAAATATTATTCATCTATTATTTCTAGAAAAAGAAGCCTATTCTGCAGTTTGCAACTAAATGGATTCAGCATTTATAGCCAGACCAATAGCATATTCCACAATGTATCCTGTGCTTGATACTTCACTATTAATTGATTTAGACAGTTATTATATATACTTGATTAGACATTTAATTTTTAAAGAATATAAATTCAAAAATATTTCACAAAAATCAATAATAAAAAAATGCAAACACAGTATGTCAGGTATGACAATGCAAATGTATGTATCAGTAATGCCGACAGAACTATAGCTGCAATAGCTTTTACATTTTAAAAAATCAAAAATAATAAAATAAAAATGTGTGACTACGATGAATTGTGCAGTGCATCGAATACAGAGATTGCAAGTGCAATCCCACTCACTCCCCATTGTAACCAACCCCCGTTGCTTGCTGTTCTACTACTAGTACTACTGTTTGTGGCAGATGTGCGTAACATTAGTTCTTTTGATATTGCATCCTACGTATAATAGAGAGATAAAGAAAGAGCGATAATATTTTTGAAAGTGAAAATTTCCAAATGAGAGATTACTCACCCATCCTCCTCTATTAGTAATCCAATCCTTGAGGTGTGTTGTTGATATGAAAATACTTGCCCAATGGGGCACACTTGACTCTATTGAAGGGAGCCCTACAGACCTACAGTACACAGTTACACACTGACAGAAAGCTAGCAATGCCAGAAGACGCCCTATGTTGACCTGACCATCCGAGAACATACCACCCCAGACGTCCATTAGCTTGCTAAAGAGATTAGTTGCCGTCAGCTCAAGCTCTTCGCATAGCTTGCGAAAGAAGATCTCATCAGCTTTTAGAGTTTGCTGTACCATACCGACTATCCTCAGTGCTTCTTCGCTCAGTTTAACGCTCAGGGGCTCCTTGCCAGAAGCGGACTCGATGCATGCAGTGATGAGATTTCGAGTCTCCTCGTAGAACTTATCATCTTGTACAGGAGACCCCCGTCTCTTGGGAGAGTTCTTGTGGTGATACTGGTGCTGTACTGGAGCAGGATTGACCACTAGCGCCATTGCCCTCTCACACACACTGTCCTGAGTCAAGGCCTGAATAGCAAGCGACTGCGACTGAAAGGAAACACAAGGGACTTAAAATACAAAGAGACTACTTGCTAACTCATCCTCTATGAATAAAATTAATTAATTATTATTATACCGGTAAGTCATGAATAAAATTAACATTAAGTTAGTTCTGTTTATGCTGCCGTTTGTGTCTTAGTATTTCAATGGACGTGAATTGAAACACTCTATCACACTCCTTGCAGTGATACTCTCTTGTATTGATGACGGCTCTCTCCTCTTCTTTCCTCTTCTCCTCTTTCCCTAGGATACAACAAATCAAGTTCAATGAAGTGAATGAATGCATATTGCACCACAATGCGCATACATGTAACTTGAACAATGAAAATATGTGCAGGGATAGTAATATGAATATTATTGATGAAAGCGTTATGCAAAGCATAATCAGTAACAACTAATGAAGTCTGCCTGCTCCTTAATTTAACATATTGATAATGACTATCAAGATTTCCTCAATTCCTTTTACATAACTAACACAAAAACTGTTGCTCTCTTTACAGGCAAGCATTTTATTACAATTTCAATCATTATCATTATCTGACAGAGAACAAAGCCATAACTACATAAAGTAAAGTAAAACGTTCACATAATATGTACACATACAATGAGAATAATAAAAATAATACTGGCCAGCTGTACTTTTAAATACCAAAAATCAATCCCACAAACACCTGGTACACCTGCTACATAACATAAACTTATGCACTAATATACTAACTAGTGCATACAAAGTATAAGTGCTTACGTTTTGCTTGCTGCTCAATTTCACATTCTCCTCTGTGGGACAGCTGCTCTGCCATGTTGACCACTAGCGACTGGTGGCAGGAAGGACAGACCCATACATTCCTCAAGTGTTGACTGAGGGAGGAGGAGGCCTCGGCCTGACTCGGATCAACTAGACTAAAAAGAAAAGAGATAAGGATTAAGATAAGGGAATATACTGAAACCATAACAAGAGAGAGATGAGAGAGAGATTTTAATCTAACCAGTCATAAGTAAAATAATGGGTAATCATAAAACCGCCTTTTGTGGGGTGGGGTGAAGGAGATGACTTTGAAGAGCCAACAGCTGGAATAAAATTTAAAAAAAAGAATAAACATAAATATCTCACGTTTAAAAAAAATGAATGAAAAGTACAATTTTATACTAAATCCTAGTACAGCTTTATTCTAATGAAAAGATTTAGTAGTAGAATTAACGGATGACTAATTCTCATGAAAATGATTTTATAAAACAAGAAGTTTATTCTTTGCAAATTCACAACAAGGCTTAGCAGTTTTCATATCTTTTTTTTGGAAAATAAAAAATCATCCTTGTTTTTGACAATTCCCTCCCAACGAACGTAAACGTCGCACACAAACCAACTTGTTCATGTACAGTCGAATTCTTACAACAATAGATCAGTCATGTATAACATACATTACGCTTCCCACTTAAATACAAATATACAATTAATTATTAATATTCCTCCAATTACTTAATTTTCCTGGTAGCCCCTTTGTTCCTCCTCCTTCTCCTCCAGATGTTGTACTGGTTGAAGAAGGTCCTTTGTAAAGGTGCGGACGTATTGATGAAGAGATTTGAGATAAAGTGTAATTATAATCAGAGTCCAAGAACTCAGCTAAACGAGAACCTAAAAGCCTCTCGAGCGATTGTATCTCATCGGATTCTCTACCTTGATCATCATCTTCATCATCTCCTATCAAAAAATAACATAATTATCTACATTAATTAATTATATTAAATTAATTACAAGTGTATAATCAGAAACGTACGCATATGTCTAATGTCAATTAAAGGTTTACTTTGTGAGTGTAATTATAATGATAATAGGCTTAGTATCATTTGGTTGATTATTATTATGAAGACTGCAAACACTAGACAATGGAGTCAGTAAACAGCAAACAAAGACAGACAGACTATAATAGGCGATAGTGAGTGCATGACGAGGCAGACAGACCATAAAAAATGATGAAAGGACATTAACATAAAAAGACACTTATGACACTGTTTACAGGCAGGATGGATACACAGACAGGTAGTTCTACTAGACAGTGTACACTATGCACACAGGCTGCTGGTGATGATGATAGAGGCAACTAAAGAGAGTAAACAATCTTTATAGAGTGAATAGATAAACAAGGTGTGTGTACTGGATTCATAGTGTATATGGAAACTGTTAAAATATATGGTTATCCGCTTTCAAAAAAACACAAGAGGGAGAGAGAGAGAGAGATGCAGACAGTCTTCTGTCTTTCCCTTGGCTTATAATAAAGGTACAAAGAGTCTTAACTAAAAAGCCTATTAAACTTCCAACATCACAATACAGTAAAGTTTCCATCTGTTTTGGGTGGAGTTATTATAATCATCAGAGTATAAAGTCTTAACAAACAGCTGGAACATACATACACAATGAAAGTGCAATAAAATGATACACTTTGAACTGGATTGCTTGATAGCAGCTAGAAGCAGTGAGCTACAGCAATGAGGTGTAAACGTAGGAAAAACATGCATGCACAAGTTTTGGCAAAAACAATAAAAAATGGTCGCTATAATATTGCAAAGAGTATATATCGGAGTGCTGACTACACAAGATAATCACGTGGATCAAAGTTCAATGCCAAAATTCGACCTGGTGCAATAAAAATAGTAAATATAGTGACCTAATCTATCTCTCACGATTAACATAGCAGATTAAACTATTTGAGTAAAATGAAAGTACACTCTTTCTATCTTACTATCTATCTATATCTTTATTTTTCAATATCCTCTGTTGTCTATAGTCTCTCTTCTGCCCTCCCCCTCTCCCTGTTTGTGGGTAGCATTGTCAGCTCATAGACATAAGTGGAAACATTAAAGAAAAGTTGCCAAGTTGTTACCAAGCCAGCATAGAGTCTATCATCTCACGGGCCGGCCCAGGAGTACACATTGAACAAAGAGCTAGGATTACATATAACTATTATTTTATCATTAAAGTTTAACAGTATTCACTTGATAAAGTCTTATATTATAATAACAGCAAAACCATGATAAATATACAAGACATCTTTTACTCTTAATACCCTTCTCTCTCTCTCTCTCTCTCTCTCTCTCTCTCTCCCTCTCTCTCTTTCTCTCCCTTGGGCTAGTCTTGATAGACAGTGAAATAGAAGCCTAACTAGTGCACACCTACTACCACTACACATCTTACAATGTACTCTATATACTATACTCATAGTACTAGAAATTTACATGTACATGTACATGTACGTGTTAACGTACACAATGTACATGTACTAAAACTGAGTTCTTACAAATGTGATTAGTACAATCTATAGCTAATTAAAGTATTGGGTTGCTAGTAACTGGTCTATATTAGGATTAGTGAACGTATGTATCGGGTGTATTAGACATGTACTATGATACCTTTATCTTATTTATTATTGGAGGCCTCACAAGATCAACCACAATCTCATCCAGTCTATAATAAGGTTCACACGTACCAATACCACACAGCATCATGGATGTAAAGATATTATTATACATCAGATCAGTTACTTACATAGACACACACATACAATACATTATACATCAATCATAATCTATACAGTCAATCCTACACTTAAGGACACTTCTATGATCAGGAGAGTATTATTGGGTCCCAAGGTGTCCGGAATAGACAAGTTTGACTATATACAGTACATAATAAAGGGAAAGAAAAGGAGAGAGAGAGGAAGACAGGGAGGGAGAGAGAGCTAATAAAAGTCAGCAAGAGGAAGACTACACATCAATCAGAGTCACCTGCACATACACATGTGTACATGTACCCGAAACTTCAAAGCTAATGGTGCAATAAATGGACTTTCCCTATTAACCTTTCATATATAACTATCCATTACTATCTACTATAGATTGCTGAGTGTGTATCCTTAAACAGAGCCTCAAAGGGCTTATGTCACATGACAACAGATGGGCTAATCCTTCCTGCCCCTGGCAACCAGCCATAATGGTTCCATAAACAACAGGTGGTGCTAGTTAGAGACCTGGCTTGCTAAAAAGAGAGAGAGAGAGAGTCAGGTGGTACAGTATACACAAACACCTCTTGTGAACTCATGCAATAGCTTTGATGTATTAAACTGACATCAGTATATAATAATATTAATCATATACAGCAAACAGATAAGACTAAGAGAATAAAGAAGGATAATGAAAGGAGAGAGAAGAAGCACAAGAACAGGAGTGAAATAATACGAATGTAGTGTGTCTTAATTCCAAAACACAGCTTGCAATGAAAACTCTCTTTAGCTAATATTGTAATGACTATGGAGGCATTATTAGTCATCACATCAAAGCTTCACTACAATACCTGGTAGTACATGATCCCTCATATGTATGGGTTGACACGCCTAATACAATAAGGACAGCACCCAACAACACCGAAACCCAACAAACAGTATAAAATATAATATTAATAATAAAATTAATTATAGACTGGGTACACTCTCACACCGATAGCAGCCTCAACAACGCACACAGAGAAATAGTTTATAATAACAGTCTGAAATAGTAATAACACCTACAAGACTGTAGTGTTAGAGGTATAGCCCCCACACACATAGTATTCACGAGAAGAGTATCCTCAATACATGTATGTACAATAGCAGGATGTAGTGATATACATGTGTATGTAAGATCATGGATAAAGATACTGATATAAAGCAATAAATAACAGAGAGATATAAACACAGCCATACTCTTAAAGACACATGAATATAAATAAAAATACTATATATGATATAATTCATTATTAGCACTCTATTCTTTAATATATTACATAGTCATCCACACACTCAACTTTGGTCTACACATAAAGGCATAAATTAGAATGTTATAGTTCCGTGCATGGACCGTGCAGTCGTGTGTACAAGTAGCTGATCCCTATCGAAACAATAACATTGACATTATTCCTGTCCCTTCATATACTCACTAATGAATATAAACAACAACAGTACCGGAGCTAGCGAATGAGCATAACAGGAACATACAATAGCGTGCAGTGACAAGCACACATGCTTAAGTATGATAAACAACAATTAAAGTGTCTTAATTATCCCATCTTCTACATGCGCCTTCCCTCTCTCACTTTTTGATCTAAACTACTGCCTTCTCTCTCTCTCTCTCTTTTTCACTCACTCTCTCTCTAACTTTTTAACAAGAAACTTCATCAGCCATTTTGCTTTAATCATAGCAAAGCCTTCATACCCTCATACCCTTCCCCTGGATGATCAGTATCAAAAGTTAATTGTGAAGAGAGTATGTCATCATCTCTCTTGACTTGTGAGAAACTATAGCTCATGAATCCTATTACAATAATCATTACACTGATATTGGAATGATCTAATCCTCTCTCACGCCTCAATCAGCACTAGTATCATGTGATGATACATAACAAACAATTGACACTTTTTTCACCAGACTATATTCATGTAGGCAGCTGTCGGGGTAAACTTACGTATAGAGGAGTAAAGATAAATTTTGCAAAATTAGCAGAAATTTTGACAGAAGTAAAAATAAATTTGGGAAATTAGCAGAAATTTTGGGCTAAAGAAGTTTCTATAGCTACATGTAGGTGTGATACATGTAATTAAAGAATTAAGAAATAAAGGAGAGTTTGAGACAAGGGGAGAAGGAGAGAGAGGGATGGTGAGTAGACTCACTCTTGCTTTTCTTAGCTAGTTTCATCTCTAGTATGCGTGACCAGGTGCCTCTTAGAGTCTGTACTATGGACATTACCTCTTGTCCAGTGTCCTCGCCAGTGAACACTATCTCTAACCATTCGTCAACCACTAACCTGTTAATGATTATACACAATATAGGCCCGCTGTGTGATTTATTTTGTTATTATTGTATTTTTAATTGTTTCATCATTATGAAAGAGGAAAGGTATAGGATCACAACAAACACAAACAATATCATTAAAAACAATCATTATGAATGAATAAGAATGGTAATGTTATGACGACTTCACACAAGGCATGCTAAGTGAGCTAAACAGCATGAGCTTCATGAGCTGACAAGCACTACAATACAGTACATGGCATTTGGAACAATTTTAAAAATTCGTAAAAAATTCAAACTTGATCGGAAGCAGCTCAAACTTGATACACAGCATAAAAACATGTATATGTATCAGAGAGAATGATAAAAGTCAAGAATTCTCTCCTAGTCATTTTTGATGAAATTCGGCCAAAATCCCTGTACTATATAGTACAGGGTGTTTGGCCTGATTTTTGAGCAACTTTAAAAATTCATAAAAAATCCAAATTTGATTGGAATCAGCTCAAACTTGCTACACAGCATAAAAACATGTATATGTATCAGAAAAAATTATAAAAATTGATAATTCTCTCTCAGTCATTTTTGGCAAAATTTGGCCACAAACCCTGTACTATAGTACAGCGTCTTACAATCCACTGACAAGAAGCTGTAACTATAAACAACATGCCAAAATCCTGTGGGAAACCCCGACTATCATTACCACTAAATCATCATTATTAGTTATACCTTGAACATGATTCGTTTGTGTCAATGGATTGAGTGAACAATAGCAGAGTCTGTAAGGCAGGAACTTTTAGAGCATTCACCATATATGGTCGATTGGTCTCGAGTAATTTTCTACAAAAACAGCAAGAGAATTTAGCTAAAATTTGCTATTATTTATTTATTTATTTATTTATAATTATTTCCACTTCTATTTTCATTCATGTTGCCATGTATTTTTGCTAAAAAATGTGCTTATAAGTTCAAACTCATAAAGAGCATCAAATCAAAAAATGTAATAAAAATTTGAGAGCCAATTTTTAGAAAGTAATAGCAACATGTACTTCAAAAAATTTTTAAACTGATATTATGCTTCTCTTGATACATGAAACTCAAAAATTTCAAAGCAAAAGTAATTAAAACCACAATGGCATTGTTAAAATTATATGGATTGAGTCACAAAAAGATTATAAAAATAAACAATGGGAGAGAAAAAATGATGGAAGAAATCGGAAAAGAACGAACACAAACACACACATAAATGAAATATTTCCCTAATCACTCACAAACTGTATCATTCATAATAAATGAGTGTGCGATGGAGTGGAGGAGTGATGGAGTTTACAGTCCAACAATGAAAATAATTTGCTGTCTAAGGACAAAGGGAGTCAAAATGTCTGGACGCTCTACATCATTAAAAAAACTGTCGCACAACACACTAAAACAACCATCCACGCAAGTACACACATTTATTGCATAACACAATCACTCACTCGTTACTAATGGAGGGACAGAGTGCAGCTGCACATAATAGCAGTACGTGTTTACAATCAATCAGTGACATTATAGGAGGGTAAGCACTGTATATACAGACAAAACAGTGACATATGTAAAACAGTGTGTTTTAGCTAAGAAAACATTTTCGTTACATAATGTAAATAAACACAAACAAAATAACAGAGTATTCTAATATATCATGATGGTAAAATTTTAGGCCAATTCAATCAAATTTCTCATCATTTATAATGGTTGTGAGAATAAAATATTGATCAATAAAATAAAACAAAATTGACAAATTTTTATTCGACGAAATTTTCCCGTATAAGGCATTCGAAGTCGCACGTCGTTAATGTCCCAATACATTCCTTGAGTATTGTGTGTGTGTGTCCAGAAGAAGTGCTGATCAGGTTGTTGATCATTTCGTAGATAATGATGAATGAATAACGTTATTTAATTTAATGAATTTATTAATTATGATCATTAAATAATGCAATGATAATTTATAATTTACACACCCAAGGAGCTCCATGCATACATGTATATAACACATTATGTACATGAGTACATGTATATAATGTTTTTTTTACAAACTAAACTATTAATACATACAGTATACATATACATGTACATAATGTACATAAGTACATGTCATACATGTACTATACTTACTCGTACGCCAGTAAGTAGTGAACCTTCTTTCCTCCTTCCTAAAGAACACACACAATTACAATAACAAACAGAAAGAGGACGCACGCACGCACGCACACACACACACACAAACCAATTATCTATAACTAATTCTATATGTACAGTATGCAACATAAGTTGCATACATGTACATGTATAAACATTCGTTGAATAAATCTAATTGTTAGTCTAGCAGCAATAATAATTATAGTACATGTACGTGTACGTGTACTTGTACGTGTACATGTACATGTACGTGTACATGTACATATACATGTACTTGTTGCTGGAAAAGGAGGTCAGGATTAGAAGAGAAGACACTAGTTGGATGAAGGACTAGGAATGACTTGGACTGGAGAGATTAATAAAAAGAAAGAAATAACAAACAGAACACATGCAGACTGAGGACATTGAAGTGCATACTTTGGTATGGAATATTTGTTCGGAACCTTTTTTGAACGTGTTACAATCGTCACCGATGGCAACCTGAGGATACAGTCCACTAAAGGAGGGGACAAAAATTAAAAATTTTCTATCATTATTTTTACATTTTTGTTACATTTTAAAGTCCCCCCCGTCTCACCTACATATGACAATCTTCAATAAATTGATGTCTCTCAAACTGTAGGATCTCCTCTCACTGGATCCATCCTATGCAGGTGTGACATTGATTGGAATAATACAACCCACACACTACAGTGTACATACCTGCAATTGAGAGAGATCATGGAGTAATTTAAATTCCAAGTGCTTCAGTCCAGCTGCTATGGATACTTCTTCCTCTTCGTCAACCTAAACAAACAATCATTTTCTCTATTACTCAATATACCAGGTATAAAATTCATGCAGCTTTCTGAGCTTTATTTTGTCTATAATTTTGATTCAATTTTAATTTTTGAAGTTAATTTTAACTTTAATTTTTGGAGAACAAAAAGGACAAAAGAAAGCTGCTATAAGGTACATGGTACATGTACATGTATTTTATTCCTCTCTCTCTCTCTCTCTCTCCCTCTCTCACCTCGTGGTCCATTTTAAGTACTTTTCTTTGCTTGTTCTCAGTTCTGTGTCTCTTTCTCATGCTCCTCAGCTCCTCTTGCTGTACCTCTGACAGTTGGAACCACCTGCTCTTTCTCTCCCTCTCCTCCTCCTCTCCACTTGCCTCGTGAAACTCTCTCTCCAATAACTCGTGATCCTGTAAAAATAATAAATTATTATAGTTATTAATTGGCGTCCATTTCATCCCTTGGATGGAGTAACTTACTAAAAGTACGTCGCGGAATTGCTGCCTCAACTTTACCATCTCATATAGTCTTTGCTCCTCAATCCCTCTCCTCTTGCACCATTGAGAGGAAGCCTTGACTCCATCTCTCTTCACCTGAGGAGACAGAGAAGTCAATACTGTATCATGAATACATATAATTTTAAAGTAACTTTAAAAATTCATAAAAAATCCTAATTTGATCAGAATCAGCTCAAACTTGCTACACAATATAAGAACATGTATATGTATCAGAAAAAATTATAAAATGGAGCTTTCTCATTTATTTTTGTCACGAAATCCGTGACAAACAAAAAACCCATTAGTTCCATTGTCACGAAATCCGTGACAAGCAAAAACCCATTAGTTCCATTGTCACGAAATCTGTGACAAGCAAAAAATCCATTAGTTCCATTGTCACAAAATCCGTGACAAGCGAAAAACCCATTGGTTCCCTTTAGGACAATTTTTGACCAACTTTAAAAATTTGTAAAAAATCCAATTTTTAGTAGAATCAGCTCAAGCTTACTACACAACATAAGAACATGTATATGTATCAAAAAAATTATTAAAAAGGAGAATTCTCTCTTTGTCATTTTTGATGAAATATGGCCAAAGACCCTGTACTATATAAAAGGGAATTTACTGCATACATTAATCCATTCATCAAACGCATTGAGCAAAGTATAAGGGTCTCCATGATCAGACTCAAGTGACTGTCTTGTGGACTGAGCTGAAGACTCGTCCTGATTGAATGCTGTTTGTGTAAATGGAGACTGGACGCTTAAACCAGCTGCTATGATTAATACTGGCTCTATCACCTGAGGAAGGGAGAGAGAGGAGGAGGATGGGAAGAGAGAAAGAGGAATGAGAGAAATAAGAGAAAGAGAGGAGAAGGAGAGGGAAGAAGTATATGTACATAATTCTGCTTGGATCAATTCATATTTTTCTAACATGAAACAGAGAGCCCATAATGAGCATCTTCCCAATGACCACATCAACTGGTAACTGAGCCAACATCTTACCCACTGGAGTCAGTCTTTCATCATTTGTAAGAGCATCCTATTAAATAAAAAATACATGAAATAAATACATGTATGCATGTATAATAATTCTTAGTTACATACTTGTTCCTTAAGGAATGCTACTGAAGTCTCTATACTTGATAATGAAGGAGATTCAATGAATGGGAACCTACAGGACAATAGAAACAAAAGACTAATAACTTTACCATAGCATACTAGCAACTGCACATAAAAACAAATGAAAATATTAAATCAGAGGCCTAATTTTGAAATATGCCAGTAGCTTGAGGCTTATACAAGGAGTCTGTGGTGTTTCAGATTTGCATTCATTGGAAAGCATTAGAGGCACTCCTTGATGTACTACATATCTTACTTCCTAATATTCCCCAGGTCGAGTGCAATGGTCTGGAGTACGAGTGACTCAAGAGGGACTCTCTGTATCTCTGGAGTCGCATACTCTGGGAATGAGGAATAGTCCGACTCTGAATATAACCGGAAACACACACCAGGACCAGTACGACCTGCAAATAATAACAAGGATAAGAATAAATCGTTATAGTACATATACATGCAATAGAATGTGACATAAGTGCATTTAACTGCATCAGCTTATAAGCAATTTTTCCTTACCAGCTCTTCCCTTCCTCTGCTCAGAGCTGGCCTGACTAATCCAAAACTCTTGCAACCTGTTCATCTTCGTATGTGAGTCATAACCCATCTCTTTCACCTGAGGAGAGACAGAGAAAAAGAGAAAGAATATACAATGTACAATTGTACATGCACTGTACATACATGCTGTAATTGTATAGCACTTTATTTTAATGAAGTAAATCTTGTAAAAGAAATCTTTGTGGAAGTAACTTTAATGAATCTAAAATGTTAATGCTCTTATGAGGATCGAATATTACAGAACTCAAGCTTTATGGGTATACAAATTACATGCTAATTAATGAAAAATTTGCTTCAAGAAGCATTAGATGTATACAACTATGTAACTAGATGTACTTTCCCGGAATCAATGACAAATCTAATTCCATCAATGGTAATTGAGGTCTCTGCTATATTAGTAGATATAATACACTTCCTTGTACCATCAGGAGCAACATCGAACACCTGGATATGAAAAAATGAATTCCCTTCCACTCTTAAAATGGTACAGTACCTTATCTTGCTCTTCAATGGATAGTGCACTATGTAATGGGAGACCAATCCACCTCCCAGTGGCTTCACCATAAGACTTGACTTCATGAAGTAAACTAGCAATCTCATTCATACCACTGAGGAATACCAGTACATCCCCTCTCTCTGATCTGGGATACTATACAATGAAAGAGATATACATGTACATGCACTGGTATAGTGATGGCTCCTAACTTTATTATCAATTAATTGTAATATCCTTAGGTAAGGCTGTGGATCTAACTTTGAACTCTTCTGAGCCTACAGAATAAGACAGTGACAAAATACATTACTCCTTCCCTCCCCTCCTCTCTCTCTCCTTTCCCCTCTCTCTCTTACTGTTGGTTGCAGTACAGATGCATTACTGATAGGCATATACTGCAAATCAATAGGATACAATCTACCTGGAACCTAACAAAGATTAAATAATTTAAATATTGAATTTATGATTTAGAATGTTCTTCACGTACCTTTATGACCGGGGCTCCTTGAAAATAATCGGAAAATAACGAAATGTTGATTGTTGCCGACATTAAAATCAACTTAAGATCAGATCTCTGATCGATGAGGATCCTTAATACGCCGAGAAGGAAATCACTGTTAATGTGACGCTCATGGACTTCGTCAATTATGATGACATCATAACGACTGAGATCTCTATCAGTGCTTAACTGACGTAGCAAAAGACCTAAGGAAGTTAAAAAGAGAGAGAAAAATAAGGACGATTTTAAAAAGAACCATAAAAGCAATATTAGTTATATTACATGTACAAATAATAGCTGTAGCAAAACAATGTTACATGGTGCATATACATCTGTACATGTAGCTAGTTATACATTGTACCTTCAGTAAGGAAGAGTACTTTAGTAGCAGGTGTTCTTGATCGTTCAAACCTGACCTGATACGCTATCTCAGTTCTATACTCATTCAGAGTCTCATAGCTCACACGTTTAGCAAGAGAAAGGCAAGCTATTCTCCTCGGCTGGGTACAAGCTATCTTCTCATAAGACCCTCTTAGTAAGTACTGCGGTACCTAAAATTATACAAGTGCCTTTGATTCACTCAAAATTGAATCTACTAATTTTAAGTGACATATTCAGTACTGTTGTAGTGCAAATTATGTAATATGTACTAGTACTGTAACTTTTAAAAAATGACATGTCTTGTTTAAAATGAAGTACTATTACATGGTGATTCTACCCGTGTACATGTACATATTTGTACATGTACATGGCAGTTCTCTCCCATAAGGAGTGTAGATATCGGAGTCTATATGCATACTTGTGTTGATTTGCCACACCCAGTGTCACCAGCAATCAATACGACCTGATTATCCCTGACAGCGCTCAGTATTTGATCCTTGAATTGGTAAATTGGTAGTTCGGACTGATCTCGTATTATCTTTTGAATCCTCTGGAACTTTGTCTTCTGCTGAAAGTTAAGAAAGTGACGAATGACAGAGCGGAATTCAAGCAAATGCTTTAGCGTCAATGGAGAACCTGATGAATTTTTAAAAATACGATAATTATAGCTGGAAAATTTAGATGCAATTAGCACGAGGCCATCATGTGATAAACATGTGACAAACATCTGCTAACAAGAGGATTGGCACTCACAATACGCTGTAAACAAACAAGTGTGGCATTAATTAGAATAAGAGCTGTACACTGTACATGTAGCAGTGGAAAAAGCAGCTCTTTACTTTTCTTCCTCTCGTCTTCCCTCCTCTGCTGGAGAACTCTCAACTGATACTCTAAGTTATCAGTCTCCACATTGAAGCATATTCTGTGAGACCTGTCGTACACTGGAGGAAATGAGAATGGATCTTTTGAACTCTCTCCTTCACTGGACGCGGACCATTCTACTGTATTAATGAGGACAAAAATGGAGGGAGTCAGGTATGCAGGATAGCTTACCATTTTTTTCTGCTTTAGTCTTTTCTTTACTGGCATTGAACTTTTGATATCGATAAAAAAATTTCCAAAAATCTTTGTGTTCTTGTGACCCCCTTAAAAGTGGTAGAGGTTGTTTTTTTGTCATTAACAAAGGGACCTACCTTTGTATGAGACTGAAGTTTTTAAAAAAGATACGATCCAAATCTTTCTCTTGTTTGCTCCAGTCCATAACAATACACGTGTACAACTTAGCCCCACCCATGACACGCCCATTATTTACTACACGTGTGTTTTAATTAACCAATTCCGCAGACTATCGAAAACTTTTGAATTACGGGCAACGAAAATTGGCGCTCATTTTCAGCATTTAATAACTTTAACCACACCCATTTAAAATTGTATCCGGAGAGATCCGAAGATACACGGCACTACTAGTTTGTAAATGGCGCCTTATTGAGGTTCTTCACGAACTTGTAGTAAAATCCTATTCATTTGGCTCAATAGTCTCCCCAAGGAGGAAAAGTAGTCTCTAAAAAGAATCGAATAGCTCCCAAAAGCTTATAAAAGCTACAATATGTCGCAAGTAAGCCGCCATTTTCTCTCCAGGGAGTCTGCCCCCATGTTTCTAATAATGAGGTGTTATCATCCCTTTACAGGCAATTCAGATTAAATTAGTCCTTGGTCATTCGGCACAATGGAGAAAAAAGCCTACACAGGAGGGATACACACACGACTGGACGATACTAGTTCGTGGGGAGGATGGGCAAGAAATAAGACATTTTGTGGAAAAAGTAATCTTTTTCCTACACGAAAGCTTTGCTAAGCCAAAGAGAGGTGAGTTCTTGTGTTATTTTAGTTAACCGATGCTTAACTCAATATGCATGTCTGCATGTACATATACATGTTACATATATTGTGTCACCTTTCTTAAAAAGTTGCTCATATTAATGGGGTCTATTTGATATTGCTATGCTAACAGAGAAGAGAAAGAAGGTATCATTTATATTTTATTTTTTAGTCATTAAGGAGCCGCCCTATCAAGTCTCAGAGTCTGGCTACGGTAGTTTTAATCTTCCAATTGAGGTCTATTTCCGTAATAAAGATGAGCCAAAGAAAGTTCGTTTCGAGTACGACCTTCTCTTACCGAACCTCAACGACCCTCCCATCAACCAGATACGCAGTGAGTGCCTCACTTTTCAAAACCCGAGCGAAGAATTCAAGAGCAAGCTCCTCAAAGCGGGCGGAGTCATAACTGGAGGCGGTCCTGGAAACAGTTCTATTCCGCCGTCTTCGCAAAAGGTCAAACGCCCGTTGGATGACGGTGACCTCTCGCATAAGAAGCCGTTAAAGATGAAGAAAGTGAAGAAGGGCGGAGACTCGAGTGGGTCTGATACGAGCAGTGACAGCGAAAGCGACGACCAGCCGCCGTCTGCTCCTGTATCGAAATCGACTAAATCGGGTCAGTCCAAGAAATCGTCTCCTAATACATGGGACACGGCCGCTTTGAAGCGACTCCACAAGCATCTAAACTCGTTGCAGGACCCCCAGCGGCTGCAAGAGATAGTCAATATTATTGAGCAAACGGGTCAGTATAATTTGACGCAGTCCACGTTTGATTTCGACTTGTGCAAACTCGACGATCACACGCTTAGCAAGCTCAGTAAATTCATGGATGCAGGTGGAATAAGTTGAAGGAATTAATTTAAAACAGAGATTTGTCTTTCTTCACATCTCTCTCTCTCTCTCTCTTCCTCTTCTCTCATAGAAACCACCAGACTTTGTTTCTTTTAGTATTTTGTTATTCTCCCTCCGTCTCTCTCTTTCTCATTCTTCCTCTCCCTCCATCCCCCCCTCTCTCTCTCCTTTCACATACATTACATACAGTAGGTTGCAGACGACTATAATGCATTTTAAAAGTTTAGAAATCACGTGCTTCTTCTACTATTAAATTTAAAGACGTTTTGTGTGTGCAATGTGTGTGTGTCCTTGTGACTTTTTCCCACAAACAGAAGGGGCAAAATATTTAATAAATTGTGTAACCTCTTGTATGAAATATTGTGGGTGTCTTCTTTTTTTTTCTCTTATTTTCAATGCACATCTTTTACTATTATTGTGTCATTAAGCTAAGGACCCTATACAATTATTATTTAATTATTATTATTTTCCTCTCCCGTTTGCTTTTCACATTTTTCTTTAACATCGTGCAGTGTACAATAAGATAATGCAACGCAGAGAAATTTTGACCGTTTTTTTTTTAATATTAAAATAATGAGATCGCTGCTAGATATACCAAAAATATTTAGGGCGTGGCTCTTTGCAGCTAATAGTAATTAGTTCACACCTCTTATGTGTATCGTTCACACTATGCTGAATGTTTACACTATTGTTTACACCTGAGACCTTATAAGAACTCCACCCAATGACAGAATGTAACATGTTATGCACTCTGTTATAAAAACCAGATATATAAACAAGGACACTTGTCTTTATTATTTTAATTCCTCCAGTATGTACAGGAGTCTTGCATTTCTCGTCATTTCAAAACAAGGCAGTCATTCCAAAACAATCCTGAGTCACAGCATCACGAAATGGAGATCCCTCCAAGGCAATGAGTCATCTTGTCCCTTAATCTCTTTATTCCCGCGTAGATCGAGCTTGTTGATAGTGCAGGAGCTGATTAGCTCCAAGGCAGGTACGGAAGATATCGCATTATCACTCAAATCAAGGGCGGAGAGTTTTTTAAGCTTCAACAGTGAGAGAGGGAAGGAGGCAATAAAATTAGACTGCAAGTGAAGGATCTTTAGCTCAACGAGACTTGCAAATGCAGCCTCTGGTAGAGAAACGAGTCGATTGCTTGCAAATGATAACCAAACAAGAGATAAAAGATGGCCAATCTGAGGAGGGACTTCAGTTAAACTGTTCTCAGCTAGTGACAGCCTCCTCAAGCCCTTCAAACTACACACCTCCATTGGGAAGTCTGTCAAGCCAGCATCTTTGAGCCATAGCTCCTGCAGGCATTGCAAATGAACGAAAGACTCCGGAAGAGAGACAAAGTGATTGCTGCTCAAATTAAGGAAGGTGAGGCTTCTGAGATCCCCAAAGTTAGCAGGAAGGAGAGTCAGGGAATTGTGTTCCAAGGAAAGGTGTCTGAGCTCAGTCAAGCAGGTCAGCTCGACTGGTGGGAAGATTATTTTATTGTCATTGAGTAAAAGGACCTTTAGGTCTTTCTGCGAAGAGATATTTTGTGGAATAAGCCTCAGATCTTGATGACTGACATTTAAGATTTCCATGTGAGTGAGCCACGCCTACATTAAATTTTTAACCCTTGTAGCTTCTAGTATAGCACTATGCATATAGCAGTTATTGCATCAAACCATAATTGTTTTTAAAAGAACATACACATCATTACAAATTACCAACAGAAAGAGAAAGAGAGGAAACAGAAAGAGAAAATTAAAAGATGAGAAAACATGAAGTAATGATTGCTTTATAAAGAATAGAATGCTAGTTATAATAATAAGGGCTAAGAAGAGCGTATATCAACTTGTATAAATTTCCTCAACCTATCGAGATATTGTCCATATAACTCTACATCATTATGACCAGCTCCTTCGACCCATAGTGGCTCCACAGTCCTTGGGGCTCTCTCAAATAAAGCTAGCCCGTGAGTAAAATCAATTACTTCATCGTCAGTCCCATGTATTACTAATACGGGTGAAGTAACACGAGTTATTTTCTCAATGCTATAAAAGGAATGGAGAGAGAGAGAGAGGAGGGGAGAGGGAGGAGGCAAAGAGAAAGACAGATGTCGTAAAAGAGGAATGCAAGACAATAATATAATACGGTACATTGTTTTAGTTACCACACACACGCATTATAGATTATATACACAGTGAGTGATGATGAGTAAATAATTGCAACAAGACACAAAGTGATAGTGTACTATTCTATGTATATATCCAATTCATCAATGACACTCTAAAATGAAGTTTTGTGACGAGATTAATCATACTTGCAACACAAAACAATATTCGATTAGCAGTTACAAAAAAGGCCAAAAATGCATAAATTAGAATTATAGAATGAATGACATACATGCATCATGACATAATGGGGAGTACAACGTAATGGGGAGATTTTAAAAGGCTTGGGGTGTGATTTTAGATAAATAAATGAGATAGTGACAAAACCAAACCAGGCCTAGATCTAATTAATCCATCAAACATTATCACAATTTCTTTAAAATGCGTATTTATATTATGATCGATTACCTTGCAAATGAATCAAAGCACCAAGTGCGCCTCACGTCAGGACATGCAACCCTCATCCCTGACATCAGAGGAGAGTGTAGTACTACTCCCGCGACCTCATGTCTTGTTGCTAGATCAACAGTAGCCGCTGTACCGATACTTTGACCGTAAAGTATGACCTGATCGGGTCTAAGGCCGAAACGAGTTTTCAGTGTCTCCCAAGCTGCTTCAGCATCGGAATAGATATTGGCCTCGGAGGCCTTCCCCGTCGACGCCCCATAACCAGAGTAGTCGTAAGCTAAAATGTTGCAATTTATGCGATTACCAAGTCCAATAAAGAAGCTAGACATTTGACCGAGGTCTACGGCATTGCCGTGGCTAAATAAAATGGTGAATTCAGGGGAGTCTGTTATCTTTACATACATACAAGCAACTCTGTTCCCGCGTCTGGAGCGGGTATAGAATACATCTATGACCTCCAGCTCCGAGCGACTGTACTGCCATTCCGCCTTCTCTGTCAGGTGTAGGGAGCAGTTACTGACTGGCGGGGACGGGGAGGACGAGGAGTTGGAGGAAGAGGGTGAGTCCTCTTCTATGAAAGCGTATGTGGGAGCTGGAGGAAGGAAGGCGAGCTTGGCAGTGATCCTAGAGGGACATGGAGGGCAGCAGAAGAGGTAGCAGAGCTCCGAGAGAGACAGGCCGTTCATTTCTTGGATTTCAGTTGACTAGGCTGTGATCTCGTAGTTCTTTCTCGTTCATTCAATCACTGATATGTGATTGATTTTATCACGTGACCTCACGTGATCCCTACACAACACGCCCAGTTTGAACCAGTCACGTGCAAACACGTGTGTGTACGTGTTCACCTATAAGACCACGCCCATTAACAACATGCCTACCCTTTTGTTGTTAGACAGATCTCTCTCTATGAAGCGTCCAGCGTCCACTGAGCTCCCTCTGTCTCGGCTATCATTAGCCAAAGAAGGTATCAATACTCTCCTATCTTACTTGGAGGCGGTTTTTCCCTCGGAACATGTTGGACTCATCACTTTCTCCTCCAGCCCTCAACTCGTTTGCCCCTTCACACGTGACCTCTCTGAAATACGTGAAGCACTTGACTCGGTCTCAGTCGAGGATCGTACCGACTTTCCTGGAGCCGTCCAGTTCCTCACGGAGTTGATCCCCAAGGAATGGGGCGTGTTCATTCCTATACAGGTCGTACTCGTTAGCGACGGGTTGCTAGGGGGAGGGGCTAGCATCCCGACCGATTCCCCGTACTGTTTCCCTTTCCCGTGTCAGTTTAATGTATTATTTATAGCGACTGAAGATGAATTCAATCAAATTGATGGAACTGTATTGGAATCGTTTGCACGCAGCATTGACGTATCACCGTCTAGCATAATCGTATCAAAAGGCTCTAAACTAACTTCTGAGACTGTAACAGAGTCTTTCCTTTCCTTGGCTAAAGCGGTTTTTTTTCCTTACGACGGGATTTTAAAATGTGGTCACCTGGAGTGTCACTTTACCCTCTCTCCCTCTCCTCGCATGGTTCATACTGCTTCTCCAATATCCACTGATGTGAGGCACAGGTTTAGCAATCCTTATAGTGTCACCGAGTTTCCGTCCGAGATAAAGATATGTGGTTTTGTCGACTTGGGCGTGGTCTCGGCTCCAGCCGTCTACAGCAAACATTTCCTGGTTGATAACGAGTTTTCGAAACAAGACAAACTTGAGCAATTCATGAAGAAACTGATGGTCAAAAAGGGAAAGGAGAAAGAGGAGGAGGAAGAGGAAGAGGAAGAGAATATGAGTGCTAAGCCATCATTCAGAGTATTGCTGCATGGGAGCCTTAAATGTGAAGCTAAAGTAGCCATTGTGCAGTTAAGGTAAGAACAAATTCTAAGATAATTTTGAATGGAATTTCTAAAAATAATATTTAAAATACAATTGAAAGTACATAATAAAATATACTTTAATTGTAATTTCATTTCTGTCTTAGTGAAAATTGGTTTGCCCTATTGTCCTCGGCCTCTGCCTCATCAAAGAAGTCAAACCTCATCCTAACTGTCTTATTTCCTGGTGACAACATACCATGGTTCGGCCAGATGTCCTACCTTGGTTCCAAGGTTCATTCTGGGTCGGATCCTCGTCTCTCGGAATCCGCCAGTAGCAAAAGTGATTTCCCTGTCTCCATTCCTCATTTCATGAGCTATCAAGCTCCTTCTAATCTCTTCTGGGCTAAGGAGCCTGGACTTCAGACTGATTTTGCTAAGCTTGTACGATACAGTCACAAACTACCTGAAAAGGAGGCCTCGCTGATCAAGGTATCTATTTATGAGGTTCTGGATGCTATAATTGAATGAATGAATGAATGAAAAGGTTGTGCTGGTGCTGTGTTCACACTATGCAATCCAATTGAGTGTAGTTCAACTGTAACTCTACCATTATAGTATAAGCACTGCTATATATGACATAACTAGTGATACTGTAGTTCAGGGTTTCCCACAGGATTTTGGCATAGTGCTCATGCAGCTTTTTGTCAGTGGAATTTGCTCAAAAATTGTGCCAAAGACCCTGTTTTATAGTACAGAGTCCCAGGCCAAATTTTGCCAAAAATGGTAAGGAGAGAATTCTCCATTTTTAAAATTTTTTCTCATGCATATATATGTTCTTATGTTGTGTTTCAAGTTTGAAATGATTCTAATCAAAATTGGATTTTTTTACGAATTTTTAAAGTTGTTCCAAGATCGGGCCAAAATCCCTGTACTATAGTACAGGAGCTTTAGTCAAATTTCATCAAAAATGGCTAGGAGAGAAGTCTCCATTTTTATAATTTTTTCTGATGCATATCCATGTTCTTATGTTGTGTTTCAAGTTTGAGCTGATTCCAATCAAAATTAGATTTTTTATGAATTTTTAAAGCTGCTCTAAATGCCATGTACTGTATTGTAGTGCTTGTCAGCTCATGAAGCTCATGCTGTTTAGCTCACTTAGCATACCTTGTGGGAAACCCTGTTGTAGTCATATAGAGGTAGACATATTTTGCTAATTTTTTTCTATTGTAGGAATTGAACAAACTCCGTCAAGTGGTGCTTACCTACAGTTTGCCTCATCTTAGTAATGCTATGTGCAGTGTACTAGCTCAAGAAGAGACCAACACTACCAACCATCAAGCTAAAGCCATCCTTCAATACTGCATACAGTTTCTCAGTACAAATCAAAACCCACACGACAAGCTCTCGCCAATGGCTAAATAAGAAATTTTTAAACTTTAAAGTTAAGAGTTGTTTTAGCTATAGTTTGATGTGAAGTCGGTTCATTTTTTTCATTCTCTTTTCATGACTTCCACTTTGATCCCACAATCTTTGTAGTAATCGTTGAGGTGATCTACATACTCAGGACTGACATTACCAGCTTGTAAGAGATACCTACAAAAAGAGCAAATGATATCTTATTATTACTATAAATAAAAATAATAATAACACATCATTCCTCTTTTTTCATTTTACCATCCACTTGATGCTTGTAACCAAATGTCTCCGGAGTGATCCAACTCTTTTTTATATATATTTTTCACGTGTCCAAATAACACTTGCAACTCCTTTTCCTATAAAAATAATTACAATATTTGCTTGATTAATGTCCAAGCAATGTACAAGGTGTAGAAATGTAGTGTCACAATACACTTGCCTCGTATTTTAGCTGTCCTGCAACTTTGAGTGATTTCAGATCACAAGTGCTCAAGCTTTCGGTGCATTTGAAGTTATACAGTATGTAATGCGGACCGTATTTCCCTTTTTGCAAGTACATCTGTGGCATCTCCCAGGATTTCTTATCAATTGCTTTCACTATAGTATACAGTACAGGGAGAGATACAGTAAAGTGTCATCACAGTGACTAACATTGATCTATTTTCCTCCTTAATTTCGATTTTTTTCCTGTAAATAAACAAAACTGTTTAATTGCTAAAAATATCCTTTCCGACTCACTTAAACTTGGAAGCTGCTTCCGAAAGATTAGCTAAATTAAAAGATAAGGCAGTTATACTGTATCCACACGATATTGATATGTACCAGTATGGCATGGCCTGAGCCAGTCAGTAGAGAAAATAAAACCAACAGTCCAATACATAAGAACAATGTGATTATTACTCCCTTGGATTGTTTGCCATAAATTGGCTCCAAATACCAGAATTCACTTCTCCTTATGTTTGTTATATCTACAATAAAGGCACATGCATATAAAATACACTACATTCTCTCTACATACATCCAATATCTTCATGTATTAGTGGTACATATACTTCATCTACTGTTTCTGGTTTATTGCAAAGCCTGTGTGGGCGATTAGCTGCTACCTTTATCGAGCAGCCTGATGGAGCTCTCACTGTTCCATTAGTCTCTAATAGCCACTTCCTGCATAAAATAACATGATAGGTAGAAAATTTTGTGGCCCAAAAATTTGAAAATATTTAGTAAAATTCCTTTTGCAGATTTTATTTTTCCAAATGTACTTTGGCTTAATAGAAAAGTAAAGATTAAATTCTCAAATTTTACAAAATTAGCAGAAATGGTAGAATATTATATTATTATCATACCTCACAGCAAAAAAATAAAAGCGTCTTCGTTTCAAGAAAGACGAGTAGAAGTTGATTGGTTTTTTGTTCCAAAAAGAAGCAACCTCTATTCTTTTCAATAGCAACAGTAGTGCTTCATGTCCTGCCTCTTCCTCCTCAATTACTAGCATGTTTGGATTCTCACAGTGCACCACAACTTTCAACAAGTTTGAGAGCTACAAAGTAGACAAGAAACAAAAGCTAAATGTCTCCTCTTCTATATTCATGTACTGCATGTAGATAAATGCAGTATATTTTTATGAAAATCAGACTTGTTTGTATTCAACAAAATTTTGCTATTGATCTGCATGTATATAGAAGGTCTTGTAAATAATGACTCTCCCAAGCCCCCTTCTCTTACATATTCTTCTCTTGAAACGGTAAGTATTACTGATATAGCTCTCATGAAGACCAGTACTTGTGGGCCGGTAGTCAAGAGTGTGCTGATTGTTACACCTGATGATTCATTGAGCTGGCTTCTTGGCAAAACAAAAAACTTGAGAGAAGTACCAGGCAAAGGAGTCTCTGGATTTAAATTAAATTGTAAATTAAATGAGCTGTGTAAGAGCTCGCATACTTTTTAATTTACAAGGGTCAGTGAATAGTCCTGCATAACTCTTTATAGCTACCTTAGGGCACTCTAGACTCCTTGGAGGAGACTGTGTAGAGTGTACACTGATATTCAAATGACAGTAATGAGTTTCTTTTTCCTTTGTAGCCACTAGAGTTGCATCAAGCTTAAAAGTGACCCTAACATTTGTTTTCTATACAAAATAAAGCCTAGAGGTAGCTATGTACTGTAACGTACTGCTTCAACCCATTGTGTCTTTACTCCATTAGAAGGTATAACAATAAGACCTCTTGTGCATAGAACTTTAACTGTCACATCAGCACCTCCCTGTATGCAGTTGAAAACAAGCAATACTAACCTCCACTTTTATTTTTGATATTACAAGTATATGCTGTTGTGTTGACTAGAAGGTTTGAGTTTGAAAATTAAACTTAAAAATTTGAAAAAAAAGACAATGGGCTCAGTACTATACAGGTATCAGTAATTGCAACAGTTATATACATGTACATTACTTTGTATTTGACTTGTATACATTTATAGTATATAGTATATACTGATTATACGTGTGCATATTTGATTTACCAATCCATTATTGTTCAGGTATATCGTTAGTGTAGTCTCACGCTGTAAAACATTATTAATGCTCCAAACTTTATTGCAGCTTGAAAAGTCAAGATTAGGTGACTATATGAGACAAAAATTGAACTTCAAAGCAGGTTTTCCCACAGGATTTTTGTCAGTGGATTTTTAAAGTTGCTCAAAAATTTGAAAAAAATATCCCATTGTCAAATTTCATCAAATATGGCAAGGATAGAGTTTTTATTTTGTGGAAAATTTTGTGGAAAACCCAGCTACAGAGCAAAAATAATTAAATAACAATAATAGTAAATTATTTACTAGAAGTTTCACTCCACTGACTGGAACAGTAATGTAGTCAGTAGTGGCGTCTTGGCCCGTGATAATTATGTATCCTCTCCTATTTCTATAATGGTAAATTGCTTTAGGTACAGACTGCAACCAATCCTCAAAGTGATAATTGAGTGGATGTATTACATATCCTAAGTACGAGGTAGACTCCATTTTAGACCTGTTGTATGTCCATCCTGCAAATTCGGGAACACCAAATGGAGGTATCACCGGGAAGCGCTCTGTTGACGTCCATGGGAGACCAGTACATGACCCTATAACAATTATTCATTGACTATTCCCTCCTTTATACACTAATGCACTTCCATGTAACACAACAAATTTTGAGTGACGTCGATTTCGCAATTTTTTTCAAAAAACTATTCATTTTGCATTGTTTTTGCAGGTTTTCATTTTTAAAGAGAAAAGCAAAATTCATACATTTAGACCCCTTTAAAATTTTTGCACCACGTATGGTACATGTAGATGTACAGTGTATCATAATTACACATTAAGATAAGAACTTACCCATTTTTTTCTCACAGAAGTCATTTCCTTCTCTATAGTTCTCATTCTCAAACATCAGTATGCCGCCGCAGTTCTTGTGTAGCTGGGATCTTGGGACAAATATCCCCTCATCCAGTGCCAGTACCATCCAATTTTGTTGACTAAATGGACGTAGGAGTACAACATATTTGCTCAGTGCATCATACAAGAACTTTGGTATCCTAAACAGAATGAGCAATCACAATGTTAGTCTATACTGTACATAATGTATGCATGCATTATTTCCTGTACAATTTAACATTAAAACCAGATCCAACTCCAAACGATGCAAGTGCAGTAATATCTGAGGAGAGATACATTGTACAAGTACATGTGCTTATAATGTACATTGTAAGCCTTATACCTTTAGACTGTAAGTATATTTTGGTTTTCCTGTATGTATACCATCTCTCAGGAGCATCTATATCAGGCTCTATTAATCTATAATGAGTTCCAAGCTCATATGTATGGACCGTTAGTCCTCTTTTCATTGTGGGCCTTGTGCGAATAGAATCAGCATCACACTCCCTGGAATAAAACGCCGGTACATTATAATTCCGCTCAAAAAACCTAAAATTTGCATTAGGGCCGTACGGGTCCGACTTCAACCTCCAGATCCCTCCCTCTCTTGAGTAGAATGCATAGTTGTTTCCTGAAAATGGGACGGCAATAAAGAGGAGGAAACTTGTTTGTGCAGCTCTTAATGTGTAGATCCCATTCTGGATGTCAAGGTTCAGGAGGTCTTGATAGTTTGGTTCAGGTAGGTGAGAGGTAAACCCACGCCGCTGGACAGGTAGGACTGCTCGAGTATGATACACACGCTCGTATACTTCGTGAATGATCTTAGTCTTGGTTGGTATTCTGTGATAACCATCTTAAGCAGGACTAATTATATTAATTAAATAAAGTGATACTTACCATTTCTATTTATTCTTATTACCTGGCCGGCTGGGATGCCAATGCTCACGTTAATTCCATTGTAGACTCCCTTGATTCTTTCTGGTAGTTGTATACTCATATCGCCAGCTCCAAAGGCTTTAAGAGTCAATCGAAGCTATTGTGATGAATGAGTATTAGTAACAGCAGTAAGTATGCAAATAATATTATCATAAAATAGTACAAAAATAGTACAAATGTCTATTTATAGAATCCATATTGATACCCTTGTGCCAATGCTATGTAAAAAGTTTGAGTTGCTTCTGACAAAAATTTGACTACTTAAAAATTTAAAAAAACCATGGACTATATAAAGCCCAGAGTTTTTTTTGAAGAATCACCCCAAATTTTTATTACATTTCCTGATACATATTGATGCCCTTATGCCAAATTCTGTTATGATCGCATGTATAATTTGAGTCCTCACTTCATCATTATTTGAAAGAGAGTGTGCCTGAGGATCAGATGCAACTGAGATAGATATTTGTGAATGAACATGATCTTCATAATAAGGATCTGGCAACGGCCTCCTATATCTCTCATAACAGTGAGGAGTTTGCCGAACTTGCCTTGGAGTTTTACCAGCAGCTAGTGCAGGGTCAATGTAATACTCACCAAATATTGATAAAGGGACAAAAGTCGTCATTACTCCATGGAGCAAGTATGACTCCACATAAAGCTGCTCCCCGTCAATAACAAGATAAAGTTTACTGAAAAAAAAGAAGTTCGTACAAACTATTTTCTCTCACTCTTTGTCTTAATGTCTTCTCTTTTTTAAATTAATGTGCTTTTACCTTAGCATTTTAATCTCGTCTTGAGTCAACTGAAAGACATATTTCCTCCACAGGTATGAATCTCCGGTATAACTCACTGAAATAGGTCCACCAACTTTCTGCATCTTTGACAAACTAGGAGTGAGGTATGCATCCTTAGTTACAGTCGGTTTAAATTCATTATTCTCATAGTACTGTGTGTCAGGGGCGTATACCACAGGTCTTGAGAACTGGACCTTGAAAGTTAGCTTTCCCTCAGAGTCAGGTTTAAGGAGTGAAAGAGGTGGAGGATGTACTCCAACCACATCAACACAGTACGGGTAACTGTCTCCGGGAAAACGTGGTCTTGGGTAACCAAGCTTTATACGGTTTAAGCACATCTGCTGTAAGGGTGTTTCACCCTCAAGACAGTATTCATTATTGTCTACAGGAAGAAGAAGGTTTAAAATGATGAAAGCTAGCAACATTTTCAGCAAAAATAACTATTTTACAGCACAGCTGCAACACCAATGAGCCCGCCCACGCGAACAGTTTAATACCGTATTGTTTCTAATAAGTGGTAGTATGTAGTATTTACGATTTTACTATTCTTTTTCTAGCGTCCATTGCCTGTCATCTTTGTAGCTCGTCCTTGGCTGTGTCTGGTACACTTGAGCTTTACACGTTTATTTCACGAATACAGGTAGTGCTAATAGTCCGACTTGGAAATGGCAGACATTATTCCTTCGCCGGCTGTCACTGGAGAAGAAGAAACAGACCAGAAGACTGGTCTAGACCAGAATACGTTTTTCAACGAGGGTGTGCAGCAAGCCCCGCCTCCCGTCTCCTCTGGGACTGAGTCATACCCACCTAAAGCTAATCATGTTATTCAGAGCATTGGGGAAGAAGATGGAGTGGAGCCTAATGCTGCCCTGAAACCTCTTGCTGCTAGTGTAGATGAAACCGACCATACCGATGATGATAAAAGCAACTGGATTGATGTCCTTGGGAACGGATTTTTATTAAAGAAAGTATGTGTATATATATTACGTTGATATAATACATATTATTATTATTATTATTTAAGCATTTTTTGCTATTAATTTTTTAGTCATAAGTCAAAATTTTAACGGATCACCTTTAAAAAATTTTGTAGCTCAAATGAAATTAAAATTTTTTTTGACCATGAGGACTTCACCATGCATAGTCTATAGCCATTATGCATAATACAGTTCATACGCATATGCTAAATAAGTTTAGGTACTTCTTAGTACTTGAATGGCTGCTGTTTTGTCATTTGAAACCTTTGAAACGGGTAGGGGTATTAATTTTCCAATTAGGTTGATTCATTTTTTTACAATTAAATTAATATTATTGTGTAATTATTTGAAATAATCTATAGATATTAAAGCCAGGAGATGGAGTATCCTCTAGGCCCTCTCCACTATCTGAAGTAACAATGAGAGTACTGGGATCGCTCCCGAATGGAACTGTAATAGATAAACACAACTCTCTACGTTTTATAGTCAGCGATGGAGATGTAGTACAAGGTAGGCTTTTGTACATGTGCATATCTCTTTAACCAGCCTCCTTTCTCTCTTACCTCTCTCTCCCACAGCTGTAGATATTGTTGCTAGTTTAATGCAGCGAGGAGAGATCTGCTGTGTCAAGGCAAATCCTAAATATGCTTACGGATCACAAGGACGGTAAGAGATGAATGATAGCCGAGAGTGATTGTGTTATTAATATTATTAGGTCGCCTAATGTACCTCCGGAGTCTCCAGTGATGTACGAGCTAGAATTATTAGAAGTATTGCCGCCCCTTGATCTAGAGTCTATATCTGAATCAAGCCTCATCCAATATTTGTGAGTTATAAGTAATGTAATCCCGCAAAGCATTCTAAGTGAGCTAAATAGCATGAGCTTCATGAGCTGACAAGCACTACAATACAGTACGTGGCATTTGGAGCAACTTTTAAAATTCGTTAAAAATCTGATTTTGGTCGGAATCAGGTCAAACTTGCTACACAACATAAGAACATGTATATGTATCAGAAAAAATTATAAAAATGGAGAATTCTCTCCTAGTCATTTTTGGCCAAATTTGGCCAAAGTCCCTGTACTATAGTACAGGGACTTTGGTCCGATTTTGGAGCAACTTTAAAAAATCGTAAAAAATTCGATTTTGACCAGAATCAACTCAAACTTGCTAAGCAACATAAAAACATGTATATGTATCAAAAAAATTTATAAAAATAAAAAATTCTCTCCTAGTCATTTTTGGTAAAATTTGGCCAAAGTCCCTGTACTATAGTACAGGGACTTTGGTCCGATTTTTGAACAACTTTTAAAATTTGTAGAAAATTCAATTTTTGTCGGAACCAGCTCAAACTTGCTACACAACATAAGAATATGTATATGTGCCAGAAAAAATTATAAAAATGGAAAAATTTCTTCTTTTTATTTTTGACGAAATTTGGCCAAAGCTGCTGTACTATAGTACTTGGTCTTTGGCTGACAATCCACTGGCAATAACTTGTGTGAAGCACTTTATCGTTTTAATTAGTTCATGAATTTATGTTGCTGCAAAATTTTAATAACGATTATTGTGCATTTACTGTTTTATTTGTTACCATAGAAACAAGAAACGTGGGCGTGGCAATGATTTATTTCAGCGTAAAGAGTATTCACAAGCAGTGGTGTCCTATGGAAGGTAACTGATGACACGAAAGTATGAAATTAAAATTCACTCCCTCTCTCTTTCTCTTTTAGGGCGGTAAAAACCATACGTGATTTCAGACGGCTGGTAAGTCAGGTGATATTTGATACTCTAATTAATGTCTCACTTTTAATAGAGAAGAGATGAGTCTTCAGATGAAATCAATGACCTTTGGATTAGGTGCTTAAACAATTTAGCAGCTGCTCAATTGAAAGTAAGTGAAAGTGTTTTTATGAATAGAGCATGAAAGCAAATGTACAATTGTACATACTCATAGTTCTGCCTATGGTGGTCGGGGGTGGTTGGGACAATCACCTTAACCAGTTTATCACTTAGACCAACCATGCAATTAATACTAATAACCATACATAAAGCATGATATTGTAGTCTATTAGTATGGTGCATATAAGTTTAAAAGGAACAATTATTAGTCTCCAACCACCTCTTATTTTTTAGGCAGAGCCCTGATACTGTATTAATAATTATTATTACATATCTGTGGTTCCCCCTTCCTGTAGGTAGAGCAGTATCATGAAGCTTTGGATTCAGCTAGAGAGGTCCTAAAATGTGACCCTGACAACGTGAAAGCGCTATACAGGTGCGGCAAGGTTCTGCTTCTTATCGATGAAATTGATGAGTCAGTTCAGTTACTGCAAAGAGCCTGTGAGCTTAGCCCTGATGAAAAGGTACACGCTTAATAAAAATTGTACATAATATAAATTGTATACATTTGTAGGCTATAAGTTCTGAGCTCCAGAAAGCAGTACGGAAGCAAAACCAGAATAAGAAATCAGAAAAGGAGCTCTATCAGAGAATGATAAACCCTAATGTTAATAAATCACCAAAAAAATCACAGCCACAATCTTCAAAGACATCGGATTCTAATAATAATAATAATTCATCTAGTTCATGGGTGAGTCGTGGAGAGTATAATATTTATGATTATACTGTATCATTATAGGGATGGAAGGGGATTATCATAGGAGCAGGAATAGCTGCTTTAGTCGCCGTAGGAGCTGTTGCATTATATAATAAATACAGAAAATAACCAATTTAAATATTAGCGTTATTATTATTATTATTGTTATTATTATTATTAATCTTACTGACAATTACTTTCACACAATTACAATGTATTGTTGGCATCTTTATTTCGACAGAATTTATTGTTATTATTATTATTATTATTATTATTATTACATGTATGTGTTGCTTGTTAAAACTTCAAACTTGAAACCTAAATTCTAAAAAATAAAAAGTATACTGGGTGTGGCCTGTCTTTATATTATTAGGGCGTGTCTGCAAGATCACGTGATCCTATATGCAGCAAAGCAACGCACTAGCGAAATAGTGTAAAAGTTTTGTTTTGTGGAAAGGAAATATTCACTGTTGGTCGTTGCTTTAAAGCCTAAAGGGAGCTTTAGTAGCTGCAGGAGGGACCGCATTTATTGATAAATACTACACTCTAAAGATGTCGCTAACAGGACTAAAGAAACAATACAACAAAGTGTCTCAGGTAGAGTGGAGAGAGAGGGAGGAAGAAAAAGAGAGCACCTTTCTTTGTTTGCTACTGATTTTGCTACTGATAAACTTGGAATGCATTCGATAGTTTGTGTAATGATTTGTTCATGATTCTCTGTCTCTTCTCCTTGATTTCTTTGTTATTTATTTTACAGTTTATGATTGAGAAAACTGGCAAGGATGAAGGGACACCATTGGACGATGACTACAGAGATTTGGAGAGGGTAAGAATACTAATTATGCACAAAATTGCACATGCACTCTTAGTAATAGAAGTCGTAATAATATTTGAGTAATGATACACATTTTGTAGATCTTGCTTCTAAAGGTTACACAACATACATGTAGCTGTAAATTTTAGTTGCCAATTTGTATACACACACACACACACACACACACACACCTTTTATCAAGCCTTGCCTCCATCAGTAAAAATGTGAACTGGAACCAGTTAATCATGTGCTTATTAGAAGAGTTGTGTACATACATACATGTACACTCATGTGATGCTAGCTCATTCTCTGTACCAGTAATTATTGAGGTCACAGCTCAATACACTATAATACTATTGTACCTACATTGATTGTCATTGGTAGACTATATCTACTGATGATGTCATTATTGATATTAGTTTTTACTTGTATTATGGGTACATATACTTGTATGTCAGTGGGTACATATACTTGTATACTGTGTATTGAGACGTGGTTGTCTTATTGGCAGATATTTGCATTCCCCCCACACACTATTTTTATTCAAAGAGGAAGTACTTGAGCTTGCTTCTCTCTTTCTCTCCTCTCTCTCTCTCTCTTCACGTCTGTGTGTTTTTTTTCTTTCTGGCTCTTGTTTTGAAACAGATCCATAAATACATACACCCACGCCATCACTCTGGTGCTAAATTGTCTACTTTTTCTTGTATAATGTACATTTATCATATTTTTACTGCGTGTACATGTACACACTCCTCGTGTTAAAGTGTAAAACTAACTAACCTTTACTTCCATGTAATGCATCTTGTTGCTAGTCTTGTTTTTATTTTTATTGTTATTTGTTATTTCAGCAAACGGACTCCACTGTTACCGCCATTGATGGTCTTTTATCAAAAACTAAAGAATTCCTCCAGCCTAATCCAAGTTAGTACACATTAGCCATTATACGTGTACAGTGTATATATTAGTTGTTTCTGCATCAGTTTTCTTCCTTTTCCTCTAATACATGTGTATTACATGTACTTTTATTTTCTACATAGTACATTTGTACACAATGGTATATTTATCTCTCTCTTTCTCTTTTCTTTCCTCTTGCTTCTCTCTTTCGTGTTCTCTCCTTTCTTTTCCTTCCTCCTCTCTCTCTCTCCTTAGCTGCTAGATTAAGGATGGCAGTCACTAGTAAAGGTAAATCCGGTTACCCTCAACCGGAAGGAGCTTTAGGTGATGTTATGCTCAAAGGAGGAACAGAATTAGGAGATGACTCTAGCTTTGGTATGTACTACAGCATCTTTTGATCAATCACCCTCCACTTTCTATAGGAGCTTACATTGTGTACAGTCCTTTTATAACTGATACTTTGTATATTATCATTATTATTATTATTTTCTCTTTCACAGGGTTAGCATTATGCGATGCAGGGGAAGCCATGAAGCAGCTTGCTGATATCAAAGATGCTCTGGTAAGCACATGCAGTGTACTCTATTCCTTCTTGTGTACAAATATGGTAATTCTATCAATATCAATATTCACTCATGCCATTGTGGGCTAACACTCATGAATGTATTATATGTGATACATGAATGATATGAAACTGCTGCTCTGTCTATTGACTATAAATATAATGATAGTCCTCCAATGTGAGGTACACGTACATGTACATGTACATGGCATACTTTGATACGTGTACATGTACATGTACATGCGTATATGCATGTTCATGTGAGTGCGTGTGGAGTTTAGTGTTGGGGAAAGTGGTGTAACTATGCATGTTAGCTGATCTTGTTTATGCTCAATTCCTCTGAGTATGAACAACTGAGCATCGTGTCTCAAACCAGAAATGCTTCTAATTAGATGTTGCTAGTAAACAGTAATGATGTTTTATGCACATTTTAATGTACAAAAATACGCTGTAGTAGGTATACTGTAGTATTCAAGCTGCTACATGTACATCTTTCAAGTCATCATCATGTTTAATTGAGCAAGCACATGCTATTCATGCTATTCGTAATATGAGTGGCTATATAGTCTACCTGATGTAATCCCCTAATGTACTGTTGCTTATGTTTTGGTTCCATAGTTTATTCTTTATCATTGTACAGGATTTGAATTCAAAGGCTAATTTCTTGGACCCATTGAATACCCTACTCCAGAAAGACATTAAGGAGATCATGGTAATAATATTAGATTTATAATGTGCATGTACATGTACATATGTACTCTCATTTCGTCTCTGTAATTCACCCTTTCTTTCTTTCTTTTTTAGCATCATCGTAAGAAACTGTCTGGTCGACGTCTCGACTATGATGCTAAGAGGAGGAGGCAAGCTAAAGGTATGTGCTGCTTATTTTGATGACATGGCAATGGATCATGTGATATGTTATAGGGTCCAATATCACTGATGACGAGATTGGCCTCGCACTTGAGAAATTTGAAGAGTCCAAACAGCTAGCAGAGGAAGGGATGACCAACCTCCTTGAATCTGATGTAAGGAGAGAGAGAAAGAGAGGGAGAGAGAGAGAGAGGGGGGAGTGAACATAGACTAACATTCCTTCTCTAATTGTAGGTTGAACAAGTCACTCAGTTGGATTCATTTGTTGAGTCACTTATTGACTACCACAGACAGTGCTGTGAGGTCCTGGAGGGTCTCCACTCCTCCCTCTCCAGCCGCATCTCTCAGGCTTCATCCCGTCCTGCCCGTCAGCATAAACCAAAACCCATCCAACGCCAGCCAACATCCAGTTACAAGGTACATGTACATACAAGTACATACTGTAGTTACTTGACAAAGTACATGTAAATGTATTATAACTCTGTTATTTTCTCTCTTCTTCCTCCTCTCTCTTTCTCTCAGGGTGGTTCATCATCAGATGAAGCTGCTACTAACAGCATGCCTCCAGCATATTCTGCCCCCAAGCCATCAAAGAAGGCCAGCAGCAAGCCAATGTGCCGGGCTCTTTACGACTTTGAGCCAGAGAATGAAGGAGAGCTTGGTTTCAACGAGGGAGACGAGATCACCCTCGTCACTGAGATAGATGAGAATTGGTTGGAAGGTGAACTGGGCGGGACCGTTGGGTTCTTCCCGAAGAATTACGTTGAGATAGTCGTACCTCTGTAAAAACCCAACTCATCAGAACATGTATGCATACTTATTGCTGTATGTGATTTCCTTGGGTGCCTGTGTTTTACAAGGCACACAAGCTCTTAGTCCTCTTAATTTGCTATGCTGTAATTATTATTATTGTATTTTGATTATTACTATTATTATTATTATTATTATTATTATTATTATTATTGTTATTATTATTGTTATTATTATTATTATTATTATTATACTTGATCTCATATGCCAACACACTGAACTGCGTTTCTACTTACTACAGTGCAGGACACTAGCTAATTATGATTTTTATGTCTTTTTTTTTTCATTAATAAGAATTATTAAAATCCTCTTCTCTCAAGAATAGTTTTTAGCTTTGGTGCTCTTATGATGTACCATGTACAGTAGCTGAGCTGCCATGTGCTTCATTATGGCTGTGGACTTTTGAATAAGAACAACCAAACTGCTTCTACAACTAGTACATGTAGTAAAAAGAGTGACATTAAAATGGTCATAACTCAAAAAGTTTTAGTCGGAATCAGCTCAAACTTTCTACACAGCATAAGGACATCAATATGCATCACAAAATGTAATAAAAATTGGGGGTGATTTTTTGGCCGTTTTTCGGAAAAAAGCATGGGCTATAGTACAGGGAATTTTTCAGAAACTGGCCTATTTTTTAAAATGGCCATAACTCAAAACTTTTAGTCAGAATCACCTCAAACTTTCTATATAGCATAAGGACATCAATATGTATCAGAAAATGTAATAAAAATTGGGGATTTTTTTGGCCATTTTTCGGTAAAAAGCATGGGCTATAGTACAGGGAATTTTTCAGAAACTGGCCTATTTTTTAAAATGGCCGTAACTCAAAAAGTTTTAGTCGGAATCACCTCAAACTTTCTACACAGCATAAGAGCATCAATATGCATCAGAAAATGTAATAAAAATTGGGGGTGATTTTTTGGCCATTTTTCGGAAAAAAGCATGGGCTATAGTACAGTGAACTTTTCAGAAAATGGCTCGTTTTTTAAATGGCCACAACTTAAAAAGTTTTAGTCGGAATCACTTCAAACTTTCTACACAGCATAAGGACATCAATATGCATCAGAAAATGTAATAAAAATTGGGGGTGATTTTTTGGCCGGTTTTTTTGGAAAAAAGCATGGGCTAGTACAGGGAATCTTTCAGAAAATGGCTCATTTTTTCAAATGGCCATAACTTGAAAAGTTTTAGTCGGAATCACCTTAAACTTTTTATACAAAATAAGGACATCATTATGCATTGGAAAATGTAATAAAAATTGCAGAGTAATTTTTGGGTCATTTTTGACCTAATCAACTCATCTTGCTAGACTTCCATTTACACACTACAGTATCTATAAATAATTTTACTTGACAGTAATAAAGATAATAACAATAAGTATAATTAATAATTAATTTTGCTAGTACATATTTATCATTATGACGTTGCTGCTAATAGTTTCTTCTCACTTGTGTCCCTCTAAGAATCTTGAGAGGAAGTCGGTCGGACGTGGTCTCTCCGTTTGCTTAAAGTATCTCAGTATGTGGGTCTTTTGCTTCCACATATTTACAGTCTCTTCTAACTCCATCGTACCCTAACGGAGAAAGAGAGGAAATTCATCTAAGCACATAACATGTAAATAAAAGGGCAAAACTGCATGAGCTAATTTTTTACTGCTACCCATCAAAATTTTGTTTATAATTATCTTCTTAAACATGGGCGTGGCCATTAATAACTACACACTTTAATAACTAGTAGATCCATTATCCTGGGGTCTCTGATGTAAGAATTCTTTGTGAACTGTTCTCTTAGCTTGTTTCGTCCCTGCTTTGCTGATATATCAAGACAGTACGTCTCTATTGTCCTTGGAACCTATAGAAAAACATTAGAATGTCCTTCAGATCATTCTATAATCTTCCTCCGGTCATCTTACCTCTCTGTACCACGCCCTATACAAATTAAACACTCTTCTTTTTGCTTCTGGGAATGAAGATGACAGGAAAGGCTTTGCTGATCCCCTTACAACGTTTGGCACCTGAGACGCCATTTTGTTTTTCTTGATAGCCAGTTAGCCACGCCCTCCGTTCCGGCACCACGCCCAGCTCCACGGCGAAAGTCGTGCGTATCTTGCTGCAAGATGGAAATGTTTTGGTCAGCACTTTGCTTTCTTGCCTTTGTGAAGTCAGGTAAATGCTACAATATTTATACTAATCGTTATAATCCCTTGTTTTATATATTCTTTAGATTCTGCATCTCTGGTAAATCTACAAAGTAATAATGGAAGAGAGTTTTATTTTGGTTTTATGTTACCAGTGTCTAGTTTTATAAACCCAGTTGTCCTTGTGGACACCCTTAACACTTCCACGCGCTTCTCCATTGATTATCCAAAATCAAGGAATATTTCTAATGTAGCTTCTAACAGGACTCATGCATACCTGTTCGTCATGGAGGCATCTAGTTTTTTTCCTCAACAAATAAATGAGTATTATACAATGAATAGCAAAGAACGTAATAAAAGCTTTCGTTTGACTGTCAATGATAGCAGCTCTAAGAGTGTCTCCATTAAATGTTTTTTACGTGTTGGAAATGCACAGCCAACTTCCTCATATTTAGCACTACCATATATGGCACTGTTGGTTGATGAATATGAATACTATGCCATTTCTATCGGTTCGGACTCTGGTTCCGATGAATGGAGTGCATTACTGATAGTTGGTAATAGAAATGATACAGAGCTCTACATAACTCCTACCGTAAATGTGAGTCTCCCTAGAGACCTTCAGGACCCAGATTCGGAAGAAATTCTAATCCAAGCTGGAGAGACATTTGGAGCCACTTTGCATTCTATGCAAACTTTACTGATAAGGAACAGGACAAATATAACAGGAACAAGAGTAGTGTCAAATAGACCAATTAGTTTTATTAGTGGTCACTCTGCTGGAACTTTAGTTGCCAATAATCGCGAGCCAGTTTCGCAGCAACTGCTACCAACTACTCTTTGGGGAAATTCTTTTCTCCTTGTGCCATTTGTACCGCAAAACATTGCGCAATATTTCAGAGTATTGGCTTCTATTAATGAAACGGGATTCACTTACTACTGCAGCAATAAGCAAGGTTCAAATGTCAGCAATATATCTTCCGGCGAGGCCTATATGTTTTACGTGCCGCCACAAATTCAATGTTACTTGGAAGCAGAAAACCCTGTTTTCATTACGCAGTATCCTGATATTAGTAATACTGATGAAGGGGACGTTACCATGATAACTGTAGCATCAATGAACCAGTATTCAAATGAACTCATAATATCACCATTAAGGGCTAATGGGGGTTCACCATTAAGTCATTATGTTAGCATTTCTGTACCAATTGAACACTTCAATGAAGAACAGATCCTTTACAATGACAAGCCATTGGACACTGAAAAATGGATTCCCATTAATGACTCTACTGAAATGATTGTTGGCTATAGCTACGGGTTTAAATTTTTATCAGATGATAGTTTAGAAACTCATTATATTTTACGTCACTCTGATCCAAAGGGTAGACTATTTGCAATGGTGTATGGTTTTGCAGCTGGTAGGGCATACGGATATCCAGCAGGCTTAGCTTTTCAACCAGAAAACAGTAAGTGTGATTATAGTTCAATACTAAGTTCATCTACATTAATAGTTCTTGGTATAAAATTCTCTGAAGACATGTATAATGTGATTGAAGGTGACTTTATCCTATGGCTACCAGTCATAAGACTAAGGCCTTATAGTCAAAACATCTCTCTTGCATACTTTATTGAAAAATTCACTGAAAATGGTAGGTTTTAATTTTTAAATGTGTTTACTACTATTATGTTTTGGATTTGGCTGTCTATCAGTTGTTTACACAGAGCATAAAAATTACATTATTAGCACTTGACTGCTATCTTTGCGGTACTTAAAATTGAGTTTCAATTTGTGGCACTGTCTAAATGATTCTGGGAAAATGTGGCCACAGCCAGCCCCTTACTTGTGTAAACTCAAATTCATTTAGTATGATAATTGTTATTTTTAAGGTTGGGCTGTTCTTGAGCGCGGACTTTTGACTCTCTTACCGTCTGATGATCGAGTAAATGTCTCAGTTCCTATAACTGAAGACAAGGTAGTTGAATTGACTGACATGCTAAGAGTTAGACTGTACTCAATGCAAGAAGAGCTGAAAGATACTTATATATCTGCATTTGTTAATATTGTGGATGATGACAGTAAGTGTAATACAATGTACACAGAAGTTAATAAGAATAATATTTGTTTTATAACTGTAGCATACACAATTGGGATATTAGAGCTGAGTTATAATCAGGAAATGAAGTTGTTTATGATCACTGTTGGTGCTACTGATGGTGAATTGATGTATGGTGACTCTGTAGTTCTGTATTTGAATGCAACAATAACTTATCCAAATGGTAAGCAGACATAGGATCAAATACAATTGTAATTCAGTACTGTTACTGAAAATTTCTGCATGCATGGTCTTAATCATTATCTTTAGGTAGTCAACTCTTACTCCCATTGGACTATAATCAAATGACGTTTGGGACCTATAGCTCAAGGTTTTCGCTCGAGTTTAAAATATCTCACTGGCTGCCTGAGAATGAGACAATAAGCAATCACTCAATAACGTGTGAGCTCTTTAAAAGTGATAATAAACCAGAGATCATATTGGATCCGAGTAGAAGTAGACTACTTCTCACTTCAGCTATGCACAGTACAACAACATCACAGCCAGCAACCACCAGTTCAACAACCAGCAGTTCAACAACTAGTAGTTCAACAATTAGCAGTTCAAATGGACAGCATTATACTGCACTACCTAACATTACAAGTATCTCAGTTGTCCATGTAAATATTACCATGATATCAACAGTAATAATCTATGCTACCAAGATAGTTACGGTGGCACCTAATACAACCAGTCGTACTACATTACCAACATCTACTACTGATACTTCACCTTTCTCTTCTTCTATTAATACTTCAGATATACTGCTTCCTTCCATGGAGTCCGTTCCTTTGCAGTCTTCAGTAAGCCATTCTCCTCATCACTCGCCATTATTCTCAGACTTATCAAGCAAAGCTACAAGCACTAGACAATCTGTTATACTAACAGCATCGAGGACAATTAGTAAAACACCTATTACTGGAGGCTCCATAGGGAATGATTCATCATCAATGATGAACCTCTATCTATCAATAGGAATCATTGCTCCTTGTGCACTGATACTAGTCATTCTTTCTGGTGTCATTTGCTATTTCAGTGGTAAGCGGAGACAGAAGGGGTACACTATTCGCGATCGGGCAAATACTGAAACTCAACTTGAGTTATTGGAGCGGTCAAGGGTTGTACTTACTGGTGCATCTGGAAGCAGTACTCTTGAGTCAGCGGCTACTCTACCAGCTGCTCCAGAACCAAATGATACCCCAACGAAACAAGAAGCACAGGACTCTCCTGCAGTACCTGCACCAAGTCCAGTTTATGACATTGCCCTTCGTGAGTCTACAATCAGCACTTTTAAACCAGAAACGGAAGCTACTCAAGCTTCACCACCAGCTCAAGATATAGAGCTGCAGGCGATTCAGAATGATTATGAACCAATAGCATAACTCACTTCTCTTTCTTTCTATGAACCTTTTTTGTAGTTTTTGTATTATATTGTCATCATTTTATGGCTTCTATTTTTTGTTCATTTTTGCAGAACTTTTCTATTAAAAATGCTAGAAACTAGACTTCATTTTGTGTACTTTAACTAAAACAAGTTTCGTGCAGGCTTAGTAGACTTTATTGGAGCTTTGGCTCATAAAGTCAATTCGCTGAAATAGTATAAAGTGTAATTACATTTTGCAATTAAAACAAAAGAAAATATCAATAATTATATTAAAACTTATCATTAACATTTTAATCACAAGACACATTATGAAAGTGATTGAACAATAAAGTACAGACAATGATAAAATGGAAGTCGTCCACGCTTATCTTTTTTAAAAGTCTACAAGTCATTTTGTATCTTTCCTTTTGGTGTGAGCGGGAGAGCTTGTCAAACTGATGCTACTATATTTAGTGGGGTCGCTACCACGTGGGCGGGGTATAGCATGTTGAGGTGTGTAAAAAGTCGAGGGTGAGTACTTGCTTGTAGTCGTCGTCCTGTCAAAACTTTGAGCACGGCCGTGATTCGCTTCAATAAGGCTACTGTTGAAAGCAGCACCAGGTGACACTCCACTGTAACTGGCAGAAGCAAAAGACGAGTTTGGAGTTATAGCTGTGTCATCCATGCTTCCAGTCAAGGAATAATTAAGGCTTTCCTTTTTACCATAAGAGCCATCCAGTAGCTCAAAGAGACCCTCTTGGGCCAATTTCCCTCCTCTCTCTTTATTCTGTTGCCCTCCTCCTTCTTTATTCTGATGGAGCCCATTGACGTCGGATTCTACACCCGAGAGTATCTTAGAGACACTGCTCCGGCCGATACTGGTAGCACTGCTGGTGTTAAAGTCAGCCGTTCCTTCAGAATGAGAATGGTCGATGGAAAGGTGTTGAGCAGGTTCAGTTGCACTGAAACTGGTCTCAGCCAATATTTGTGTAGTATCAGTCTGGGAGCCATTAGGTACATTACCTTGAGGTGTCTCGAGCTCCAAAGTGGGTGTTGGTGATAATGCTTCACTAAAAAGAGAGAGAAAGTGAGAATGAGGTAACAACACGTATCAGACACTTACACAATAATTTCATTTTCAACTAATGAAGCATGAGCATCTCTTCTATAGTCACTGCTCTGTTGTCTTGCAACTGGAGCACGCCTATAAAAAGAAACGGAATACAATTATTATTTTCTATGAGCACTTCCTTCTCTATCAGTCTCTCTCTTCTTCACTCACTTCTTGTTAAAGGAAGGGATGTCATCCGAGATCTCATCGTGTTCATGATCCTCTTTTGGTGCGTCTACAGCATCAAATGACGGCAAGAGTGACATTGGCTTAAAGGAGTCTTCACTAAAAATAACAATAATAATAATAGTATCAATAACAATAATAATAATAATAATAATAATAATAGTATTATTAAATAGTATCAATTACATGTAAGATGTAAAACAATGAATGGTAAAAGTATGCCAATTCGGAACAAAATATGAGAAAATAGAAAATATTAATAATATTTATATATAAACAATATGTAAACAAATTACTGTATTAATAGACCTGTACATGTACATGGATGTTTACCCTCAAACATTTGAAAAGAAAATAGCCAATAATGTTACATGTAACATGCTACCACAGGACAAGACAACAGATAATATAACTCACGGATCTCCTTCCAACAGCAATTTCTCTGATTCTCTTCTTTGCTCAGATCTCTTCCCTTGTGATTCTTTCCTCCTGCTTTCAAATGACCTATTGATTTGTCACATGAGACAGTGATGTCTCTTTCACATACTTTGATGATTCATAATGTAACTCCTCCCCTATGGCAGAACCTCTTTCAGGAGACATTTCAAGAGAAGGGGAACTTGATACCGTATCTCTATTAAGAGAGAGAGAGGGGGGAGGGAGAGGAAAAGGGAGAGGAAAGATTTAGTAGTAGCAACATGTGTACAACAAGTTGTTGCTAGCTTGTAAACCAAAAGCTATAAATAAAATATCATTAGCTGATAAGAGAGAGAGCTACCACACCATTATATAACATATCTATAGTCTATTCCCACTCTAGACTAATCTCCCAAGAGAAAACAAAGCAAACAGACAGAGTGTTAAAATATTCAGACAATGGGGAATGCACTATACCTGGGTACAGTGCAGTGTATTGTGTGGTTAGTGTATGAATGCAAGTGTACATGCATTCACAATGTGTCCTAATAAATGAATGAAAGTATGCCTCTGTATGTGTGTCTTTGTTTAACATACACTGTGACATATTCATTGCTAATTCTTCTTTTCTCTTCTACTTCTTGAAATGAACTAATGAACAAAATGAAAAGAGAGAGAGAGAGAGAGAGAGAGAGAGAAAGAGAAGAGGGAAACAACAAACAAAGACTCTTGCTCTCATAAAAGATAACATTATGATGCTATCATTATTGAATAGGGAGGAAAGGAAGGGGGAGAAGTAGATAAAGAAATAACACTGGCATGTTTGTATATAGACGGTAGTAATTACACAAGCATTGCTTACGTTTCGACTGATACTTTAACTTCATCTAAATTGTCTTCTTCTACTTCCTCTGGTATCACGCTAACTTTCTTTAGCCTTGGCTCATCTAAACATTCCTGAGACCTACAGGACAGCGACCGAGTATTAATATGAAAAGAAAAAGAGGAGGAGGAGGAGGAGGAGGAAGGAGATGTGTTATTACTTACCGCTGTCTTATTCTAGATCTGGCCCATTCTCGCCTTCTTTTCTTCCTACAGTAGTAAGAATAGCATTAGCATATAGAGTTATGTAAACATCCAAATATGCAATTGGATTAACATTACCAAGAGTAGGTCATTACCTATACTAATATGGTACTTTGAAGGAGGCACACACCATATAGAGTTGTGCTTAATAGAAAACATCATCAAAGGCCCACAGAGAGTAAGCAATGAATTACAATGTTAATAAAGTGTACGAGTACATTACCAGGAAGTAATATACTAGCTGTTGTTCAAATCATTACTCACAGATACACATAGGCAGTCACTAATCACTCACAATTCCCACACTTTATGATAGTGCATGGAACTAGGACACAAATATTGACACAATAAAAAGGACGTGATATCATTATACTAGACACTATAGGTTTCACACACTGTGTACCATGCATTGTGCTTTCATTGTCCAACTTATCTACATGATCACTTTTGTAGACAATATATCTAAGTACACCAATCATTAGATACAAGTACTCGAATGAAATTTGGAGAATTTAATATAACATAATATGCCCCCTCACTCTTTCTCACCATTATGCTACACGTATTATGGCTCATTAAGCCATTATTGCTAAGTACACTAATTAGGTTAATGATATTGTGTAGGAGACCACTTAGCACTAGTACATATACATAACTACAAGACAAGAGGCAGAAAGACATATTATAATGTTATAATGATAATGTTAACATGTTAATGTTAATGCATAATATTATAATGTTGTAAGGAGGTGAAAATGGCCATGGGGTGTCTCAACTTAAGAGGGTGTAAGTGGCTGATAAGAGGGGGATAGTCTGGTTTTAAATGACTGGTCCTCAAGGAGGGGAATGGGAAAGAAATCTCTTATCTGTTTAGTCGTGGAGATAGCAAATTAATGATAAGAGTCTACCACAAACCTTACAAGTCGTAAATGCAAGCAAAGCAAGTTGCATAGTATTGTTTTTTTGTTTTTTTTTACCTTTCCTGCCTACACCAGGCAAACAGGGCCACTAGCAAAACAAAGTTACATATCATAAAGATTAGAAATATAGCCGTGATTATGAAAATGGCTTCGACGTTCGAGAGCGTCTGGGCTGCAACTATGGAGAGGGTGTAAAGGGAGTAGTGGTAAGGTGAAAAGCTCTATTAAAAGTACCTCACCTATACGGGCATTGGATAGCAAGATAAGAAGAGAAATGAGAGGGAGAAATGGAGTAGGAGCAAACACGCAAGAACCACCAAACATCTTTGTGCAGCGAAACCAACAACAAACCACAGAGCCAACACTACAGGTTGCAGCAGCAATTGATAAAGGGTTAAAAATAGAAACAAATGAATTCGTTATTATTAATTATTATTAAATTAATTAATTATTCATTTATCATTTTTTGTCTGCCAATCTGCTATAAACTGGCAAATCAGGTCCACGTTTCTTTCCATGTCCTCTGGGACGTTACTCGTCAATTCACTGACTATATCGGGAGAGTAGCTCTCTCTTGCTTCCTCTAGTATTGTCTGGAATATCTCGCACTGAACATTATTAGTAATCTTATCTTGATTGTAACCCCTAATAGGGGACAAGAGATAGAAATGGATATGCATATTTTTGAATTATAAGTAGAATGAAAAAATTGGCAAAAGGAGCTCAATTCATCCAATTGTACAATAAGAACATCAATATGTATCAGAAAATGTAATAACAATTGGATGTGATTCCAAAACAATTTTTAGAAAAAACCATTGGCTATAGCCTTTACTTTTTTCCAAATTTGACTCATTTTAAAAAATGGCCATAACTTAAACATTGAAGTCGTGGTCATAATTTTCAAGGTTAATATGTATTAAGAAATGTAATGCTTACCTTTTCATAAGACGATCGTATAAAAGTGCATTATCTGTTCTCAGGACAAATATTGCATCAAACCATCTCTCGGGGAAAAAATCACAGCCATGATACTCAACAATACAACCACCTGAGACAAGAGAATCATTCAACTCATCAACAACCTATCTAACAAGAGAGAGAGAGAGAGAGAGAAGACTTGCAGTATGACATGTAGCTTAGATTGGGCTAAAAATATAATTAATTTAAACACTTTATAATAATTAAGTAACACACATCTTTTTCAAAATAAACACATGCATTGAGACAAAATATTCATAAATCAGTTATTAGATGGAATCATGATAAATATAAAATTCCACATCCACAATAAATAATTAATGATTAATTAGCCTGACGTCTATTGATAGTACTAATCCCCTTACCTTATCTTCATCTAATATATATGACTGAAACTGTTCGTCCCATCCTTCATAAAGTCCTCCCTCTTTAGCCAGCTCACTCACATTAAAATAGCTCATTCCCGTCCTCTCAACAACTTGAGATGCTGTAAGAGTCTTACCAGTCCCGGGAGTTCCAGTAATGAGGACGTTAGGGAGAGCTCTGACCTTCTGAGGGGAAGCCATTTTGACCACGAGAGAGCACGTGGGTTTGTCTAATTTAACGAGTTCCACTCCGTAATATTGAAATTCTTATTGACCGGATGAAAATATTTCTACTGTAATTATTCGGATGATCCCTATATAATATTGAAATTTTGCTGGCTCCTACTTAGTACTTGCTTGCAATATTATAATTTGCCTCCAAAAGTGGTAAATGGAGTCCTTTTAGTAGTATATACGAGACTAAGGACATGGCCCAGTCTATTAGCAGTGAGATTGGTCACGGAGGGCCTGACAGCTCTGTCGTGTCTGTACTTGTGGAAATGGCGGATTACTGCCTCAGCCAAAACCCACAACAGGTGAATTGAGTGCTCAATATAAAGCTATTACATTATAATTGTAATAAATTACTTTGTAGTACTTTTAATCTTTAGAATATTTCTTAAATCTGATTTTGTTATCATTAATACATAGCTGGTTACACCATAGATAGTCTCTAATATCTATGGTTACACCCATATTAATTATGTATATATAATAGCTTTTTATTTATTTCTTATTTTTTCAAAAGATTGAAGAAGCCGTGCGATGTCTGATGGCATCCATTTCTCTCTCTCCTGCTCCTCGAGTTGAAGCTAGAGTCAAGTTGCAGCTGGGAATGACGCTATACCATCACACGAATAACCTCCTGGAGGCCAGAGAATTATTAGAGCAAGCCGTGAGTTGATGGAGAGATACACATTACCATAATATAGAGAGCTTTAATTTCGCAAAGTTTTATTTTGACGATTGGCAATTTACCAGTTATGTATTCAAAGGAAATGAATTTTGTAGGGAAATGAATGATCCCTGGATCTTGATATTGTTGTTTTTATTTTGGTTTAAGATGGCTTGGTGGTGTGTGTGTGTGCGCGCGCGTGTTATAGCACTCATTTTTCAAGAGTACTATTGCTATTTATCATTAAAAGTCAAACAGAAAGAAACACATAATTACACAATGCAATACAATTTCTACATGTACCCTACGTGTCAAATATTACATGTATTATCGGAGGTTGTGTTGTATTCGCGGCTGCTAATATTCAAGGTGATAAAACTAATAAAAACATTCAATTAAATACCATGGAAACCAGTCGAGCGTTGCTATAACAACTGACCACGTGTTTATACAATTACAATGTTCAGGAGCTAATCATCTATTCTTAGCAGCTTGAGTGGAGCCGTCCAGACTCCAGTTTTGTACCCGTTATCTTCTTGTATAGATGGACCGTGCTACCTTAGAGCTCTTTGCTGCAAAATCAGTCCTGGTTGGTCAGTCATGATTACAAACCACACCCAAGTCAATAAGCACTAACTAGAATGGATGGAGGATCCAAAGAGACTGCGAGGCAGAGTGAGCAAAGTATTTCTGAAAAGAACTGGCCAAAGGAGCTTCAAAGAGTCCAAGGATTAGTAACAGCAAGAAGAATAACAACTACACTGCAGCCTGGTCCTGTGCTTCAATAACGCACCGTTTTCAATTAAAATAGCATCCAGTTTCTGTGGTAATCGCTAGTGGCAGGAAAAATCCGCGAATATTAGCAGCCGCGAATATAGCCCGACCTACAGTATTATTGTAATTGTTCATATTGAACTCAATCCATACCATAATATTATTATCATTATTCTTATTCTCATTATATAGATGCTATTATCAAACAGTGTATCTGGTATAGAACAAATAAAGTATGAAGCCGCTAGCATCTTAGCAAGAATACACGTGGAGCAGGTACTGTGTATGATATACCGACTCCCCTTTAGTGGGTGTGGTCATCCCGTTGCTAGGGTTACGCTCACAATGCAAAGATGGTGATACGAAGTGCAATGGAGACGAGCTACAGACTGCCATACTGGCACTGTAGGCTGATGCTACAGAAAGCAGTAAGTACTAGCATACAGACCAGCATTTTCGAGGGACTATCATAATAATTATAGACTTTTTTGCAAATTTGTACTCTCTACCGATACCATGTACATGTACATGTATATTGTACTCATCATAATGGATTATTTTTAAAAAATAATAATAATCAAAGATTCGCGAAATTTACACCATTGAAAATATTAGCACTGTATGATTGTATGTATTCATAGTAATGAGTAATAAGGAAATACGTTTAACCCTCTCTTAAATTTGATATCATCTCTCTCTCTCTCTCCTCCATTTTCATAGGATGTTCATTTATATGAGAAGGATTATAATAGTTTGATATCCACACTCACAGCTGCTAGTGATTATGCAGAACAAGCGAATGCTCCTCACACTCGTATACTCTGCCTACTGACCAAAGGAGCTGTGAGTATAGAATAGTACCACTCCATCAGTGTACATGTACATCAGGGGCTCTGGTACTGTAGTACAAGTATACTTGTAGCAATAGATTTTGTGGGGATTTATTTTTGTGATTTGTTAAGTTTAATTTTTGAATTGAATTTAATTTTTTGAAGGACTCGAAATATTATACATGTACATGTATATTGCACTGGTCACATGTATGTACATGTATATACATGTCCCTATGAAAATAACATGGCATGTTTTTTTGCGTGTACATAAATTCTGCAAAAACATGTCTTTCAGTACATGTACATGTATATTGTCTGCATAATACAAAATGCACATAGATACATACTAAAACGCAGACATAAGTGAAACACTCCTGGTGCTAATGATTGTAAATTTGAAAGTCTATGCATATTATACTAAAGAATAAATAGAGTTTAGGGTTGAAGGTGAAAGAAAGAGAGACAGATTAAGAAAATATTGTTATTTATTTATATGTATTTCATTTTTTCTTTCATACAGTACTTGTTGATTACTAAGAATTTCAATGAAGCTGTTTCAGTTCTTAACTTCACTCATACTCTAGTTGAGAACTACCATGGACCCAAGGCTGCTGTATTGAATACTCTTTATCAAATTATACAGGTCACACATCTATTGGGATTCGGACTGGTAAGAGAGGCTGGAACTTAATTAATACATGGGCCTCAGTTTTATTATTGTTGTTGTTATTATTGTTATTATTATTATTGTTGTTGTTATTATTGTTATTATTATTATTGTTGTTGTTATTATTATTGTTATTATTATTATTGTTGTTGTTATTATTGTTATTATTATTTACTAGATAAAAGCAGCAAAGCCTCACATGAAGTCCCTACAGCATTGCGTCAAGAAATTAAATAATGAAAGTAATAACGATCAATACACATGCAATTAATTTTTATAAAAAAATTATGCATAAAATTGATCTCTCTCTCTTTCTTTCCCTCTCTTTCTCAGCTCCCACAGAGTCAGAAGGTCTATTAAATGCTGAATGCTTTGATTGGCTAACATTGGAGCAAACAAAAATATTGATTTATCTAGTACGTCCATGTGTAACTTATAAAATATAGTGCAATGTATGTACTTTTATACATGTGTATACTTGCATTATTTAGAGCACATTGATAAGTACATGTATTTAGTTGTTTTGGTAAATGTACATAATAATTTTTACATTTTTGTAGGTGAGTATGATGCATTCTGTGTTAGCTGGGAACACTGAGAAAGCACTCTCTTTTGCTAGGAAAGCATTTGCCTACATTAACTCAAGAAAAGGTACACGATCATTATTATTTTGCTTTACATGTACTTGCAGGTATTGTACATACATGTGCTATTTGTTGTTGTTGTTGTTGTTGTTTACAGGTAGTTCTGATGGTAGTAAAGTCCTGCTAGTTTTTGAGGCTCATTTATTGGAACTCGTTGTGTCGTGTTTGTTAATACAAGGAAACTGTACTCAGGCAGGAGAGAAGGTAAATAAAAATGAATAAACAAAATTAATGAATAATATTGTATTTTTGCTCGCTAAGCTTCAAGAGGCCATTAATATTTGTCATAGTCACTCACAAATGACTTATTCTCACAGAGCAGTGCTGCATACATTACTGGTAAGAGCTTTATCACAAATTGTACACATACCCTCCCCCCCCCTCTCTCTCTCTCTCCTTTCTCTCTCAAAGGGTGCTTATGCTTTTGCTACCAATAATGACGAGAGAAGTGTCGCACAATTTCAAACTGCCTTACAGGTACGTGTACATGTATACATGTTTCTTTATGTTGATTCATATGAACATGAATGCGTTTTTGTCCCTCCTCTATAGCACACGAACTCGCTGGAACTTAAAGTTTTCATAAATGTCAACCTTGCAATGACCTACTTGAGGATTGGAGCCTCAAAAATAAGAGAAGTATGTAATGGTATTTTTATCTTCTCTTGAATCTACTTCTCCAGATGATGGCTATCATGGATTTCTTACAATCTGAAGATGTTAACTCTATACAGTAATTGTTACCTCTCTCTCTCACACACACTCTTTCTTCAGTTCTCTACTCTTCCATTCTCTTGTCTCTACTTGTATTTCTCATTATATATACAATATATTATTTATCATTCTTATATCATTTGTAGTAGTAAGAATCTAAAATGTGCCGTGTCATTTGTGAAAGGACTTAACGCTTATCATCAAGTCCGACCACACGAAGCAAAGTAAGTGAGGGAGAGACCCACTGACTCTCAAACCAGTTTGGATCAAAGCGGTTCAGAAACCAGCTTAATTGTGTCCACAGTAACTATGGTTGAATTGGTTTACAATGCTACATTGCATACATAATACAGCTGCTCCAGTACTTAAACCAGTTTGATTATCTCAAGCCACCTCCTGAGGTGGTTTAGATAAGTTGGTTTATCTGCATTGAAATTGTTCACACTTAAACTGGTTTATTTCTAAACCGGTTTCAAACCGCTTTAAGGGCATAGTGTAAACGGGGCTTATGAAAGGTTTAGGGTTTTAATAGTACCAGTATGTTTTTAATATTTTTATTATTATTTATTTACAGGCGACATCTACGTGAGACCATTTCTCTATCAAACAGCAATGAACTCAGTAAGCTATCAGCCTGTGCACTGTTGGTCCTAGGACAAATATTCTTATCACTTGGGAATCACAAGGTACATGAAATACATGTACATGTACTGGTGCATGTACATGTATATAATATAAGTATAATGTAGTAATTATGGTTTACAGTATTGCTTTACATGTACATAAAGTTTATGCATGGGATATAGTTATTTTTTTATTATGATCCTCAATTTTAATGTTTCTGTATTCCATATAATCCTGCCACGCCTCCTCTGAGAATGCAAGGAATGTTTTGTGGAGGTACTCGTTCCATATAAGGAAGACAGACTGAAAGGAGCTATGAATATCATTAGCTGTCTGAGCATGCTCAGCTCTGCCAAGTTGTGCTAAAAATAGAAAACAGGATGCTTGACTGGTCTGTCTGGTTTGGAACTGGTCTGACCAGATCAGTTTATTTTTAGAAAGGAATGCAGTGCCCTTTAATAGCTAAACTATATACTGCTACAACAAGCCATGGGACATTGGGACTGCACCTTAATTCATGTTCCTTATACCTTTTATACCTTTGTGTAATTAAATTTAATGTTTATCTACATTTCCTTTCTCTCTCTCCCTCTCTCTCTCTCTTTTTCTTTCTTTTTAGGAGGCCAGAGACATGCTTGATCCTGCTTGTAAACTCACTCATAAAATTTCTGACAAAATGTTACAATCATGGGCAACTTCACTACTCATTGGTAACCCTCACATGATGATCACATGACAATCACACGACGATCACATGACGATCACATGATGTTTAAATGGTTATTTGTTTAGGTCTACATAAAACTGTGGGGGATAAAGACTCAGAAAAATCTTTAGAAGAATCTCTGAGAGTATTACAGTCAGAGTTATACGAAGGTCCAATTCTCTCTCTCTTTTCTTTCTGTTTCTGTTATGATTTTGGACTAAAAATGAAATTTTTCCTAATTTACAATGTTATTTTAGTGTACATAATGTGCAATTGTCCAGTAGACTATGACATTCTTATCAAAAAATGTTTCATTTTATAGATTACATGAAGACCAAGGATTGTTCACATCACTTGCTGATGCACGTATGTTTCGGAATATTACATGTTTAGTCTATATTATCTGACCCTTTCTCTTCCTTTACAGTGGACTGTTGGGGATTGGCCCATAACTGAAGACAAGAAGGAGACAGACTCCCTTGGCAAAGATTCCCCACTGGCCAATGATGATAGTCACAGTGCTGCAGTACAATACATGGAAGTGTCCAATCACCAAACTGATCATGTGATGACATCAAAGTCAAAAAGAACCGATTCCACTCCTAACTTGAGTAAAGTAATTGACCAATCAGAATTTCAGGAGTCTAATAGCGCGTGGACCGGTCATGTGACTGATCATGTGACCCATGAGAGCTCTAGTCACGAGAGATTCTCTCACCCGTTTCAACAACAAGTCTCGCCGGAGCAAGGTCACATGACTTTACAGCACCGTCCCCCCAAAGATCACATGACACTTCAGTTAGATCGCATGACTTCAAAGCCACGGAAAGACGTCCTTCAAAATGACCCCCACCCTCCAAATACTAATTATACTGATCACATGACTCCAGCTCACATGACTCACTCGCACACTAAGAAAAGGACTTCATCGCCATCACTAGGGGCTAGAGACATACCACTTGATCCTTTGATTGATTTCGTAAAGCACTCAAAATCAGAGCAACCCTCTTTTAGTCAGAGCCCAGTCTCAAACTTGTTTTCTCCTCCTCCCACTCTCCCTACTCCTCCTTCTGGTTCTTATCTCAAGCATTATTCATCACACCTGCCAAGAGTCTCCTCTTCACCTGCACAGTTTACTAGTACTCTCACTCCTCCATTATCTGCTACTGAAGTTGTACATACCTCCAGTAGTTATATAGGAAAGACCTCACAGTCTTATGAGTCACCGCTTGGTCATTCATATCATCATGGCCCAAGTACATCTATGTCTCCTTCATTGCACCAATATGGCTCACAGCAGCAAGGCTCTTCTTCTAGACACCACAGTATTCCTGCTTCCTCTCATTTTACTAGTCCTCAGACTCAATCACCATCAATCCAGCATGTCACTACTCACCATCATCCACAGACTGGGACTGATTATCATGCAGTTAAGGATAATCCTCCTCCTAGAACTTCTCATTATGCTCCAAAACAACAGCAGCATGCTCCCAGTAATCAGTCTGTCTCTCAGCCTTTGCAGCATGCTAGTTCTCAGTATAGTCCTTTGAAGCATCAGTCTCATTCAAGCTCTGCTTCTCAGCCTATACTCCAGTCTAGTCCACCTTATATTAAGCATCACACCAGCCCTCAGTTCACTGCATCACCTCAGGCTAAGCAGTTACCTCCTCCTGCTGGTGGTGGTTCTCAGGCTCATATTGGGGTCCAGCAGCACCAGTCTTCTCCATTGCTGCATGGTATGCCTCAGTTAAGGCACATGGGGACTCTCCCTTCAGCAGATTCAATGTTGAATCGTACCTATCCTTCTCCTAGTCCTCATGTCATTGATAGTCCTAATGTTGCTCGTGGCACTCCGTCTCAGCCTGGCTCTGCCTTAGTCTCTCCTTATCAGTTGAGCTCACTCTCTCTCCTTCATCAACAACAGCAGCAGCAGCAGGGACATGCTTCAGGTCTAATCCCTCAGCAGTTTCCACAGGTTTATAGCAGCAGTCCGCCCCAGAGGCAGCTACACCATCAGCTACAGCAGCAGCATCAACAGTTTTCACCCAATGACCTGGTTCTCCATCAGTATGGCTACTCTACTCTAAGTCCTGAGGCTATCCTCAGACAGAAGCTCCTCCAGCAGCAGCAGCAGACTGGACCAACTGGTAGTGTTAATTTCTCTCCTCTTAGTCATCCACAGACTCACCATTCTCCTGTTGTAATGGGTGGGGGTCCTTCCCCTATGCAGTATAATCCTCGTCCTATCAATATCTACCAGTACCAGCCTCCTTCCTCTGTCTCTCCTCCGACTCAAGCCCCTCCAGGCCATTTGAACTACGTACATCATCACCATCATCATCACATGCATAAGACTCAAAATGCACCTCGTCAATAATCAATAAATAAAGAATATTATTATTATTATTATGTAGTCATTGTTGTTATTTATTATTATTATGATCGCCAGCTCTGTAATTTTTATGGCTCATTATTCTTAGTATTATTACTATTATTATTTGTTACATGCATTTTAATTCGTACTTATGCTACTAGTTCTTATAAATTGCATGCTCTGCATTTTATGAACATAGGTTGATCGTTCGTTTGATTTGCATTTCTTCTTCACTATAAAAATGTCACCTCTCCATTTCTTCATTAATAGTAAAAAGGTGAATAGGAGGGGCCTATTATATGTGTATATATACTGTTTGATAAAAGGCTCTAGTGTTTCCTGTTACCATATTTGGCAGTCAATTATTAAATAGTCTCACATGACTGCCACGTGACTGGTCAAACCGGTTTGGTGGGTACGTGTGTGTATGTGTGTGAGTCTCTCATTTATTAGTGTTGTGTGTATATGAGTGCATGTGGTGATTTGGTCGTTTCATCTTCTCCCGTCAGCACTTTATATTGATACAGGCGGTGGCCAAAATATAATTCAATCTTCTGTCCCCACGACACATTCCCAACACTCAAAGGCAGAGGAATATCAGTGGAGGTGAGTTTTAGATGTTAAATTATGCAAAAGTCACCCGCGGCCATGATGGCTTCTTAGTAAAGGAGAAATCTTTTCCAGCTTTGCTAAATCCAAGTACCGGGTCTTTTAAGATGTTTGAATGTTTACTGTGTACTGTAAAGTGACAAATAGACTAGAAAACATGGTTAATAATGATAATTGTAATGGCGGACACAGTCAATTATGAATGGGCGTGGTTTGAACCTAATTAAATTGAATGATTCAATTTAAGATCATTGCTTAACTTGTATTTTTGTGTTGCAGTAGCATTTATCACAAATACATTTTGATCTAATTATTTTTAAAACTAAATAATAATAAATAATTATTTTTAATGTCTGCTAAATATTAATTAATTCTTATTTTTATCATAGTGCTCAGATCATCAAGATATTCTTACAGTTATTACTACTGGTACCAGGTACGGATTACAAAATCACACCCACACACATAACATGCAAACTTTCACGCCTACATGTACCCTGTACATGTACATGTACATGTTTACTCTATTCATATTGCATGTGTACATAAATGTGAATCAGTAGTATATATAGTGTACTCTTTTTGAGTTGAGGTGCTATATCAGATTTCCGTGACCCACTGCCTGTAACCATCGTCATCTTCACGCCAGGAACGACCAGTACGCCGGAGGACAAGAGAAGAGAGAGGGGCGTGGTCACGTACGCCATATAAGGACGACACTACTTGAGGAAGCCAGATTAGAGGAGAGGAAAGAGAACAGACAATTTGATATTTTAATTTGATTGAAGTTTGTTTATTGTGAAGACAGATGTCTCTCAGAGGGTGAAATCCACGGACATTATGTCACTGAGTATGATTGGAGGCGATATACCTCTTCTTTCATCATCGACCTCGCCTTCAGACTGGAGGTCAAGTTTTGACTCTTTCTGTCGGAGCAGCTACATTGATGAGTCTAAATTGTATAGTGAGACCGTCTGCAAAGAAGTGGGGGACAAGATCATGCACTTGTTGAAGGGAAAGCCGTCCTCCTTGTGGGAGAGGGACCCGTTTTGTGTGTGGGTTAAGAGTAAGGGGTTCGCCCTCACGTCTTATCCGATGCTTGGACTCAAGGAAGTGTTGTGTATCCCAGTCCCTGACCCCGTGAGTCTGTTATTATTTATTATTGGGAATTTGTGATTTAATATTGATACATTTTAATGCAATTAATTCTGGCTTTTAGTCTACATGCTATTCTATATTAGTTAGTAGCTTCTCATCTCTCATGCATGGGATTTCATTGGAAATACATGTAGCTCCAAAACCACTCCCAATTTATATTGCATATTTTGATGCCTATTGCATACCTTCCTGAGAATAATTTTATGAATCCTTAAAAGTGTGGCCTTTTATTTGTAGATTACATTTTTGTGGTTTTGAAAGTTGTTGTATTTTGGTCAATGCATGAATCTCATTGTGTGAGGGATTTTTGAGGTGTTTTAGATAAATCTTTGAGCTATACACATGTAATTATGAGCTGTACATGTTATATAAACTGACTTACGTGCATGAGCATCTAATATTAAAAAAAAATTGGCTGTGAAATTAATTCCCACTTGTATTACATGTACATTGTCTTGGTGCATATTGACTTTCTTTTTTTTTCTTTCTTGATCCCTCAGTCGGCTGGTTCTGCCTCATGGCGTCGTGTGGCATACATTGAAGAGTTTTATGATATCATTACTAAATTTCACATTGTGAACGGTGACCACCTTTCATCTACAAAGACCCACACTGAGGTAAAGAAAGAGGGAGGGAGGGGGGAGAGAGAGGAGAGAGAGAGAGAGAGAGAGAGAGAGAGGGGAAGAGAGAGAGGGAAAGGAGGGAGAGAAGGAGACAAAGAGAGAGAGAAAAAATAATGTTTTAAATTATTATTAGGTTTCTAAGCATTATGCCGGTGTGCCTCAATTAGCCATAGAGAAGTACCTCCAGTTGTGTCCAGGGTGCCACGGGTCCAGCAGCAGTCCTGTTGAGACTCCAGTCCTTAAGGAACCGAAACGGGAGAAGAGTGGCTATTTTATGAAGAAAGGGCAGGTTGGAATAGTTGTGTGTTTGCATTCACAAATTAATAATAACAATGAATAATCGTTGTAAAAACACAAATATATGTACATTGCATGCAGGATTTCCCACAAAGCATGCTACACGTAAGTCAGCTAAACAGCATGCTTTAATACAGTACTTGGGATTTGGAGCAACTTTAAAAATTCGTAAAAAATCTAATTTTGATCAGAATCAGCTCAAACTTGCTACACAACATAAGAACATGTATATGTATCAGAAAAAGTTATAAAAATGGAGAATTCTCTCCTAGTCATTTTTGGTGAAATTTGGTGAAAAACCCTGTACTATAGTACAGGGTCTTTGGCCTGATTTTTGAGTAACTTTAAAAATTCGTAAAAAATCTAATATTGGTCGGAATCAGCTCAAACTTGCTACACAACATAAGAACATGTATATGTATCAGAAAAAGTTATAAAAATGGAGAATTCTCTCCTAGTCATTTTTGTTGAAATACCTTGCAACATACACATGTATGTAGTACGGGGTCTTTAGCCCAATTTCTGAGTCCACTGGCAAGACTATGGGGCATTACTACCATTATCATTATTATTACTATCATTATCATTATTATTATTACTAGGTTGAAGTCATTGATATAACAGATAAGCCCCTCGGCCCATTCTGCTACATTTGTCTCTACATTGACGCATACTCCAATTACCATGTTCTCTTCCCTCTCTCCTCTCCTTCCTCCTCTTCCACCTCTGAAGTTCCCTTTGAGGAAATAGCGCACAACCTCCGTAAATACGTCTTCCCTTATTTCGGGATGCCGAAGAGTCTTTCCTCCTCTCTCGGCTCCGACTTTATTGAAGATCTTCTGCGAGAGACTTGTCTTCATTGGCCTGATGCTGCTGTAGTTCGTAACGGTTGTAAGAGGAGCGAGAGAGGGGGAGAGCGTGTTGGGAAGCTGGCAAGGAGAAGCAAATCACTTATATCAGAGCTGTTTGAAAGGTGTCGCTCTAATTTACAAGACATCTCGCTGACCCCTTCGGCTTGCTCTGACTTACTCCTTAGCCTCCAATGTAAGCTCCTCTTGACTTGATTGACTTTTAATTTTGTGTATTTAAAAATTAAACGAAAGCGTTTAAATTTAAATTAGAAACTATTAGTTTATATTTTAAAACTTTAAAGTGAAGCTAATCTCACTTATTTTTATTTCTCCTTGCAGACCAACTCAATATATCTACTCGAAAAAGCTCTCAAAAATGTGCTTACGAATTGGCCTTCAACGTGCGACCACATTGTAGTTCACAGTCCCCGAGACTCCACCCACCAGACACATCTATCAGCAGCAGCAGCGAGGACGAGATCGAAGGCAGCGTTAGGAAATGGCAGTGGGACCCGGAACGACTGATCATGAAATCAAAGAGAGAGAATGATTTTGATATAATAGGAAATGATAGGAAGTAGGCAGTATTAGAGGCTAAGTTGTGGCTTTTTCTAGCATAGAATACTTGTAGTAATATTAGTGTATGAGTATTAAGCATTTAGTATTTAGGTTAAAGAGTATGTTAAGTAATACAGTATTTTCCATATTGTTCTTCAATTACAATGTACATGTATGTTTTTTACTTCTCTCCCTTTCTTTCTCTCTCTCTCTTTTATTTAGTTCATTTTCTAATGATATCTCTCCATCAGTCGAGATGAATAGACTCATACAAAAGCAGTCCACTTCTTCCTCCACTAACTCACAGCAGAAGTTACATCAGATGCTCAATGCTAGTTCAATACAAGCCCAGGAACAGCAGGTGACCAGTCTGAGGGAGCTACTCCGCCAAGAAGAATCGAGACTAGAACTGTTGAAGAAAATGAGACAGCCCAATGAAAGCCCTTCGATCATTTCAAAAGATTTGTCGTCTCACGAGAGAGGAGGTGTGGTCTCTACTGGTGTGATAAGATCTGGCGATGCTGTAATCACGCACAATGGTAAGTGGCGGATGTGCGTTGTAAAAGTGTTTCCTTTTTTCACTTTATTATTAATTTCATGAAAATATTTTAAAAGTGAGAGCTAGCTAAAAATAGTCTTTTGACGCTTGTATTGTTTCAGTGTGCTAATGAGACATGTCATGTGACCCGTCACCTGACCCTAACATGTTAACACCTTCCTGTTGCTGTTGGCTCCTCCATATGTAGTGGGTTCTCTTTATTTGTGAAGAATGGACTCTTGATCCTCTATAGAAGATCATACTTTTGAGCAGTTGAAGAACTTGCAGTGTGTCCTTTTAACTGTTCTTTCAATAGCCATCTTTTATGTGTTTAGTGAGGCCTTGGATGCTGTTTAATACAAGAAGTATATCATTAGTGACACTGCCTGGATTGCTATATTGTGTGTGCTAAATTTATCAAAGGGATCTTTGTGTTATCATTAATTATTACCAATACTTAACTAAATTCCCTAAATTGGTAGAGCCAAATAATCCCCAGTATATCAAATAGGATAAAATTAGTACATGTGGTAAGGTTTTATTTCTTTATCTCTTTCTTATAGGGTCCCAAGGTCCTATATCAGCTAGACTACAGCAGTTAGTTGATTCTGTAGCAGTCGATCAATTAAACTCTAAGTACTCATCATCTACGCAGCACAATAAAAAGAAGTCAACAATCACTGATATTAACAAGTCCTCTTCGCCCGAGGTCATCACTATATCTGACTCTCCCTCCCCTGCCTCCCCACCTGCTCTCATATCTACTTCCACTGTACCAGGTGTAATACATAACCCTCCTTCTCTCTCTTCCGGCGAAAAACCTGACGAGTCTCTCGTAATGAAAACTATTGAGAACTCTCGCAGGTATCGCGAGTTTCTTGTGAAACAGAACACGGTTAAACGCACTTTTCAAAAACAAATTGACAAGAGGATATCGTCTTTTCCTTATCCAAAAACCTTTCGTCAAGTTTGGCCCATAATCCCTGTACAGGATCCGAGTTTCGTTAAGAACCTTGGCCTGGAGACTGTGACACAGTTTTTTGATCAGCCTCATACTTCGAAAGGCTCAGCCTCTTCTGGGGGAACTGGAGCCTCTAAAGTCAAACCGATTTGTAATCAGTGCGGCTGTGATTTTGCTTCGGCATGGCAGATACGAAAGAACAATTCGAAGCAGGTCTTGCTATGCGAGGCATGCGATTTCACTAACCTCAAGCTACTGCAGAGGACCAAACTGACGTCACAGTTAAAAGAGATAATTGAAGGAGTGAAGAGAGAAGAAGATAAGTTTAACAGTGAGACTGAGGAGGCGCGCAAGCAACTGATAGCAGCTGAAAGAGTCGGTGTTATATCAAACACTCAAAAGAGCAGTCCCCAGCCCACCTCTCATGTGTCCTCTCATGGGAATCACATTATTAGTACCAGCGGAGGAGGGATTAGACACCAGTCACTGACTGAGAGAGTCGCTGATGCCATGATACCAAGCATAATAGGAGGAAAGGGAGGGAGACCTGGGGTAGGAGCTGCTGGTGGAGGAAGAGGAGGAGGAAAGGGTTTGCCGCAAGCGGAGAAGACTAAAAGCCCACTGGAAATATCGAGGAAGAGAAAAATAGATCAACAGGAGACGTCTCATTCCGTCCCATCCTCTAAGACACCCAAGACTCATCTTGACGTTACTCTTAATCGTATTACTCAGCAGCTGCTGATGAAGCAGGTTGATGAGAAGGTCCATAAACGTCGTCGCAAGGATACCTCAAGTCCCAGTAAGAACCGTCAGGGGAAGTCCCCTCCTCCTTTGGAAGTGGCCAATCACACGCCACACGAGGAAAAGAGTGCCCCGCCTCCTTTGATGAGTGCCACGCCTTCAAATGCGGGCGGAGACTCGAGAAAGAACAGGCGTAAAGGTCAACCCAAGCAAAACATTAAAACTTAGTTAATTGAGTATGAGAGGGAGGAGCTTTATGTGAATGCTTTTTATGTATGTATCGTAAGTATAATGACTAGCATTCATTTATAAACAATAATCAAATGCACTCATTCATTCATTCTCACGTGCACAGTACTTTTAATGTGCACACACACACTCATACACATTAACACTAATCACTGATAATGACTGTTATCATTATTATTATTATTCTAATATTCTTGTACAGTTTCCATTACTAGCACAGTATATTTATATAAATAATGATTATAAAATATATAATTTCTTTTAGTCTCTTCATCAATGACTAGGGTTTCCTACAAAGCGTACTAAATGAAGCTAAGCAGCATGTGACAAGCATTTGTGGCAACTTTTGAAATTTCATGGTCCAAATCAGCTCAAACTTTCTATTCAATTTTGATTAAAATTAGCTTCACTATCACAAGATGCAATAATAAATCAAGAATTATCTCTGTCATTTTCAAAATGATTACCTGCTTAGTTTATTAATTTCAAAAACGGACATTTCTATAAATCACAGGCAATGTTATAAACTACAGTGTCATATTCAAAAAGACATGCTTTCTTGCTCCTCAATAGTATCGGGTCCTTCTATCTTGTGATCTTCAAAATGTTCACTTTCAATGTCTTCAATGCGAATGGTAGGAATGGTGAACTCTGCTGGACTCTCAACTTTAGGTTCAGTTAGACCTCCATGTAAATGTGAGGAGTGTGCTTCTCTTCTAGCTCTCTTCCATTGTGACTGATGCTTCAAAGGCACACTCAAACGACTGCTGTATGACCTAGCATCTCCTCCATGTGACAATGAGTGTGTGTGTGAGACTTGTGTCTCCATAGACTCAGTTTCTGGATGCTGTCCATGATGACTTTCGGTTTCGTCTACTTCAGCTAGTGAGTGGCTCTCTTCACAGAGTGAAGTGTCTTGTGAATAAACACTTCCTTGCAAGTGTGGGTCTTCATTGTCAGTATCATGAAAACTTAATATGCACTCTCCTATGTATAAAAGTAGAAAACAAACATAATTTTTTCATTCCAATTACTGGTAAGTTCCTGAATCTGATCGTACTCCTCCAAGTTCTCCTGCAATTGCTCCATCAGTTGTAAATACCTATCAGCTAGCATATAAAACAGCTCTGCAGAACAGTGTCTATCATACTTAAAGAGAGTATCACGAGGCCACAGTGTTTCCTTAGGATCACTGGCTAATGCAAGAAGATATGAATTGACTGTCTTGTCCCAACCATCGGAAAAGATGTCTTTCTCTTTAATATTTATTTCTTCATTCCTGTCAGGTTTATAGCAATAGACTCGGATGAGATGTATACACAGTCACATAACATGTGTACACGTCCATGTACAGGTGTCCTGTACCTTATGTCTTCTTGTTTAACTATTTCACTGTGTAGTTCCCTTTTTAGTCTCATCAGCTCTTTCTGTCTCTCTTGATGGATCCTCTCCTCTTCAACTGCCATTGATATTGTTTTAAAATTATTCACTATAATAATGGTAAACTTAATTATTTCAATCATTACATTCTTACCCATGATTCCCACTATGAGGTTTCTAAAAATGAAAGCCCCGACCCATATCCACAGCAATATGTACAAACCAGCAAGAACCTTGTTGGATACTTTAGCAATGTCACTGTAGAGGTTGTGCCATCCTTCAAATGTTAGGAGTTGGAACAATGTCACCATTGTATTAGGTAGTGACCTGTACGGTTAAGAAAGAAAGAAATTATCATGTAACTGCTCAATTAAATTAGAAGGTGCCAGTATAAGAGTTATTCTTTACCGGAAGCTTCTAGTGAAGTTTAGATCAGTTCGTTGAGAGGTCGAGTAAGGCTCAAAAATAACAGTACCAACAATAGCAAAGATGTAAGCAACAGTCACAAGTAGTATTGTGATGAATATTAGTGACTAAACGAAGGCAATATAAAATTATTAACTGATAGAAAGCACTGACTTTGGAGGCTTTCAAAGTGGTCAGGACAATCATACGAAGATGGCTAAGCTTGTATGCCTGTAAATGTAACAATATCTAACTTTTATATGAAAATGATTATTACTATTTTAACTGCCCTAAGTATCCTGAACCCTGCTAATTGTTCTGCTAATCTTGACTGTGAAAAGAGGCTAATGATTGTTGGTAAAGTAGACTAAAGTAGAATAAAGATGGATGGTTATATTTACACTACATATACCAGAGTTGTTATAATCAAATCAAATATATTCCAATTGTCTTTGCAGAAATCTTTGAAACTGGAGCTAATTATTTTAAGCCATATCTCAGTGAAGAACATTGCAATTGAAAATAAATCAATGAATATGAGAATCTCCTTCAATGCAAGTATACCAAGCCTCTCATCAATAGGAGATAGCTCTGTTTGCATATAAAGAAATGGATAAAAATTAATTTATGAAGCTTGTGATCATTTTTGCATGTAACTTACCTCCTTGAATGCTAATTGTTATAGAATTGACAATAGTAAGAACAAAGAGAAATATCTGAAAGACTGGGCCTTGGTCATACCACAAGTCAAGGAAAAAATAATTGCAACTGCTTCTATTGCTAAGTTACATGTAGATTGTTGATTTAGTATGTATAGGCAATGCACTATAATATGGGCTTGGTAATACAAAGGAGAAAAATTTATTTTTAGTTCTAATAGGATACTCTCACTGATCCAAGTAGCCCATACGCCCAATGGAAGTTTGTTCTGATTTCTTATTCTACCCAGTCTCTTGTCAGTCTTGATTTCGGGGGCTACATGATCACGTTTGTAGACTTTGAATTTAATCGTTTGCTCAGGGACAGTTAAAGTCAATTTCTCAAACAATGACCCCTCTGATATTCAATGCAAAAATGCAACTTTACTTTTTGCAGCTGCAACAAAAAAATGGCTTACTTAATATATCTGTTGTGTTGTAGACTGGAGCTCGCTTTCTTCCTTGCTCTGAAAATGTCTCCAGTAGCTGGAAATTTTCAATCAGTTTGGACTGGAAGATTTCTGCTTTGTGAGATATGATGTCCATTTTTTTGTTTTCAAAGTTTTGAGTTATTCCGCGTAAAAAGTTCAGCTGTGCTGCCTGTGCAGACAGTGCAGCGCCTGCTCAAAATGCAAATAATTGACGGAGATATACGGAATCTGTAGGCGCGAAACCGCAGCCCTCGATTTCTCCAGTTCTGGTTCGATTTAATAGGTCCTGTACAGGCTGCCCTTTCCTTTCCCTCCATCATCCTTTTATTCTTACCCTAAAAGTCCCCCTTACAATCTACAGCCGGTCGTTTCTTTTCACAAGAACCCAGGCTCCTACAAACCAGTTACCCTTCATTTAGAACTCTCCGGACCGCCATTTTTAACCGCGTGGCCGCGCAAATCTCTCCCAAGAATGAGCCAACAGCAAGCAACCAGCTCTCCCTCTCTCCCCACGCCGGAGAGGAGGACCAGAATGAAAGAGAAGGAGGACCTACAACTCCTCAACGACCGATTCGTAACGTACATAAACCGAGTCCGTCGCTTGAGAGATGAGAAAGAGAAACTGAATGTCACCTTAGAGCACATGCAGACCACTACACAGGAGGAGAGCGGTGCCATTAAGAGGATGTTTGAGAAGGAGCTTCAAGATGCACGTCTTCTCATTGATGAAACGGCAAAGGAGAAAGCACGCTATCAGATTCAGTCCAGTAAAACTGAAGACAGAATCAAGGATTTAGAGACAGAGTGAGTTTTTAATTCTACCTTTATGGGGAAGGCAAGGAGGGATTTTGTAACACCTTTTTCTGGCTGTGTACTTGTGGGTGGGGCACTGGGATTAACTATAGTTTATGGTTGTAAATTTTTGGATTTCATTAAAAGAATTCCACAAAAAGAAATAATTTAATACTATGCAAGATTGATGGATAGAAAAACTTTGCAGCTTTATGAGTATAAAACACTTGTTATTATTATATAATCAAGTGCTATACAGTGCATGTATTTTGACCTTATCATGGTGTTGGGTTCGGATCATATGTGAGACACACATGACCCCATTATTACAGGTGGTGGTGGTTCAGACTGTCCTAACACTTGCAGCTGGCAAGTGCCTCCTTATTGTAAATATTTTGTATTTGAGCAATTTGTGACTCTTTGTAGTAATGAACTGCCTCTGCTTTACCACATGGGATTTTCCTAATTGTAAATAAAAGCATACATGTACATGTACATACATGCTATTAGTAAACCATGCACCCATTAAGTACATGCACACGTAGTTGTGTATCATTTTCAGTATTATTAGTGGGTGTATACTGTAGTATGTAGTACTAGCTATACTTAATGTTCCCCGTCGTGTTTGGTGTATGTTTTATGTTTGTCTTTTAACGTGTTGTTGTTGTTTTATTACTGAATACATCTCAGGATGTAATAATTATCAATAGCTATAGTCTATATATTTATAATAATCAATTCTGCTATTATTATTATTATTGTTATTCTCTGAAAGGCTAAAGGAGTTTCGTGAGGATTATGATCGCATGCAACAAGAACTGGCTGAGGCTAAGAAAAGTGCAGAGACGTTTGAGAGCTTGTACAAATCCTCACTTGTTGACAACCAGTCTGCGAAACAAAAGGTACAATGTATACTAGTGTAATTGTAATGAATAACTGTCTTAAGAAGTGAGGCTCTTTTGTTTTTGCATTATCTCCATGTTGATTGAATATTAGTCATAATTTTACACCATCACTTTAATGTTTAAGTACATCCACATAATACATGTGTAATATATTTATTTTATTTTTAATAGTTTTAGCTTATCAGTTGACCTTCCTCTTTTTATCTTTCTCTTCTCTCTCTCCTCCCCCTCTTTCTCTCACCCCCCCCCCTTAGATACAAGACCTTGAAGAAGAGATTGATGATTTACGTGCTCGTCTTAGGGAGGTTCAGGACTCTCTGGAGCAAGAGACTCTCGCAAAAGTTGATATTCAGAACCAGAATCAGTCACTCCGTGAGGAACTCGCCTTCAAGAAGAAAGTCTATGATGAGGTTTGAGTTTTGCATTTATTAGAATTATTGGGCGAGGCCCTTACTTACAAGAACTTGAACATACATGTGGGCGTGACTGGGAGGTGCGGTCAGGGGCGGAGTCCCTCAATGTTTTACATTCTTTCTAGTTATTATTACTTTTAAAAAATTGCCATGGGGCACATGTATGTGTATATACATACAACTTATTGTTTATATTTTTGTTATTTTTCTTCCTAACTATGCAGGAGTTACTCACTATAAAACGTACTGGTTTGACCACTGTACATCGTGACGGTGTCGAGGAGACTGATGACGATTTTGCCGAGCGTCTTCAGGCGGCCATTGATGAGGCTCGGGAAGAGATTGAGAAAGAAACTGAACAATTTAAACTTGACCTTGAAAAGAGCTATAAGACCAGGGTATGCTGCTGGCTTCCAATTAATCCCCCACCCACCTTTAAGCATTTTTCTTTAAATCAAACTCAAGCAAGCATGCATGTACTACTTTATGTGTGCTACATTATAGTTTATTTTAATTAGTGCCCACCTGTATCTTGTTCTAATTAATGCCCATTTGTTTATTCTAATTAGTGCCCATATCTTTCCTCTATTGCTATAGCTTGAGTCATTGGAGTCACAGAGTCAGCGTGACGCGTCTGCTAGGGTACGTTTAGATGGTGAGCTGAAGAACTGTCACACTACACTGGCTAAATATAACAGAGACATCGCAAAACTCCAGGAGAAGGTATAATAATATTTAATTAATTAATAATTAATATAGGGGATATGATACGTAATATTGTGTAGAGGTTTGGAGTTTAATTGTAATTAAATTGCCTATGTCTCTTAATTTTATTTTAAATAATTATAATATAATAACAGTAATAATAATAATAATGATAATAAAATTATAGTAACAGTACCAATAATAATAATAATCATATATAAGTATATTTTATTTGTTTATTTCTCTTGCGTAGAATGAACAGCTTGAGAGTTCTCTAAGAGAAAAGTCAGAAGATCTGGCTCGTGCTAAGCAGCTCCACTCTGCTGAGTTGGCTAACCTCATGGATGAGATGCGTGCCCTGAGAGTCAATTATGATCAAAAGATGAAAGAATATGAAGAATTGTTTGATCTGAGGATACAGTTAGAGCAGGAGATTGCCACCCTCTCTGCACTACTCCAGGAGGAGGAACAGAGGTAAGGCACTGCATTAAATCACAACTGTAGTAGGATTTGAGCCAAGGAGGCAAATTGACATTTAAATTATAATTCAAAGGCATGACTATAAAATGAAAATACACATTTAAAAAAATATATATATTTTTTATTTTATATTATACTTCTATTATTTTATAATTATATTTTTGTAGGCTCAATTTGCAGACGACTCCACGTGAGAAGAGACCTCGTGTTGCTCGTGACGGAGAGGGCCCTCGCTCTAAAAGGAAGAAGCAAGTCGCTGCTACGTCTTCCAGTGCCGTTGGATTTATACAGATCATTGACGTTGATCCTGATGGACGCTTTGTACAAATTAAGAACATGTCTGACAAGGTACGGCGTGTTGGATTGCTGCATATTAATTGATATTTCACACTAAGGTTGATATTTTAGTGTATGTACATGGTTTTTTTTTCTTTCTAAAAATGGCTCCTAAATCATCCTCAATTTTTATTTTATTTTTTTGATACATATTGATGTCTTTATGCTGTGTAGAAAGTTTGAGTTGATTCTGGCTTCAATTTCTCAAGTTATGGCCATTTTAAAAAATAAGCCAATTTTTGAAAAATTCCCTGTACTGTAGCCCATGCTTTTTTCCAAAAAATGGCCAAAAATCATCCCAAATTTTTATTACATTTTCTGATGCATATTGATGTCCTTATGCTATATAGCAAGTTTGAGGTGATTCCGACTAAAAGTTTTTGAGTTGTGGTCATTTTAAAAAATAGGCCAGTTTCTGAAAAATCCCCTGTACTATAGCCCATGCTTTTTTCCGAAAAATGGCCAAAAAATCACCCCCAATTTTTATTACATTTTCTGATGTATATTGATGTCCTTATGCTATATAGCAAGTTTGAGGTGATTCCGACTAAAAGTTTTTGGGTTGTGGCCATTTTAAAAAATAGGCCAGTTTCTGAAAAATCCCCTGTACTATAGCCCATGCTTTTTTCCGAAAAATGGCCAAAAAATCACCCCCCATTTTTATTACATTTTCTGATGCATATTGATGTCCTTATGCTATATAGAAAGTTTGAGGTGATTCCAACTAAAACTTTTTGAGTTACGGCCATTTTAAAAAATAGGCCAGTTTCTGAAAAATTCCCTGTTATAGCCCATGCTTTTTCCAAAAAATGGCCAAAAAATAACCCCCGATTTTTATTACATTTTCTGATGCATATTGATGTCCTTATGCTGTGTAGAAAGTTTGAGCATTTTCTGACAAATAATTTTAAAGTTATGAGCATTTTAAAATGGGCAAATATTCAGAAAAAAGAAAATTTCATGGGCTATAGCCCATAGATTTTTTTAAATTAGGCCCAAAATCACTACATAGTTTCGGCCGAATTTCTTTATTTTTTCTGGATCACTGCACCTAATTAAACTGCTATTTTTATTTAATATTACTTTTTAGGTGACTGAAATTCCTAAGAACAAGTTGCAGCTGGTTGGTGTTACTGCCATGCTCATTGCCAGTAAATATGAAGAGATGTATGCTCCAGAAGTCGCTGACTTTGTTTACATAACTGACTCGACGTACTCCAATACTGAAATTAAAGCCATGGAGAGAAACATCCTAAAAACACTTGATTATAGTTTTGGTAATCCACTCTGCCTTCACTTCTTGAGACGTAACTCAAGAGCTGGCGATGTAAGTTACATGCACTAGCCTTTTATAATCTCTTTTCATCATTAAAACTTTGTCATGCCACTTACTAATTGCAAACAAGACATTTTAAAATTATAATATTTTATACTTTTAATTTCGAGTTATTGTGAAGGCGGATTTACAATATGACATTAGGCCAGCGTACCGTCAATTTTTAATCAAAAGCGTGGGCGACTTGACCTTTTGACGCATGCTTTCCGCTGGAATAGAACCAGATTCTATTCCAGCGTCAACGTAACGTCAGGACTAGCGTAATATTGTAAATCCGCCTTAAGTCAGCTCAATTACATGTACATGTAGCATTAAAAAATGAGGTTTATTTCAGAGTCAGTTTTCAGGCCAAAAATGTAGAAAAATTTTCTTTTTTTTTTTTCATTATTAGCTGTCCTCTTTCTTTCTATCATTTACTAATTGCAAACAAGACATTATATAGTACCTACATGATGTATTAAGAGTTTTTAAATTATAATATTTTATATTTGTAATTTCTAAGTCACTCTAAAATAACTTTAAAAAATAGGTTAGAATCAACTCAATTACATGTGCATGTAACGTTTAAAAATAAGGTTTATTTCAGGGTCAACTTTTAGTGCCAAAAATGTAAAAAAAATTCTTTGTAATTCATAATAGCCGTCCTCTTTCTTTCTCTCTAGGCTACTCCTCAGATGCACACGATGGCCAAGTTTTTAATGGAGCTCTGCCTCCCTGACTACTCAATGCTGGAATACCTTCCTTCTCTAGTTGCAGCTGCTGCCCTTTATATCTCTAATAAATTATACTCTGATGGAGAATGGGTTAGTATTTATAGTATTATTAAATATTTATTTTTAAAACTTCATTTTTACATTATTATTATTATTATCATTATTGTTGTTGTTGTTGTTGTTATTATTATTATTGTTTTGAAATATTTGCATTACCAACCTGCTTTTTTCCCATAGACTCCTGCTCTAAGACATTACAGTCAATATACAGAACCTGATGTCCTCCCTTGTGTCGGCAAAATGGCGTCACTGGTACTAAGTATGCACACGGCGAAGCAACAAGCAGTGAAGAACAAATACTGCAGCAGTAAATTTATGCGTATTGCGAAGGAGCCCTGTCTTCAGGGGAAAATAATGAAAGAACTAGCTTCAGTCTCTCTCTCTCAATAAGTTAACAACACTGGTTCTCCTATTTAACTCATTCACTCACTGCTCTTTTCTTTGAGTCTTACAGTGTGCTGTCTCTCTCTCTCTCTCTATTATCATTAATTTATTATTATTAATTAATATGTTCATTTCTTCCTTGCATATGGTGTCATTATTTTGGTGGAAAATTATATTTTGAGTGAACACCTAAGTGCAGTGTTGTTCCCATCCATATTTTTTACACGGGATGTGTTTTATACTAAGGGGTTTCTGCTACTGGCTTATTATAAATAACAGTTTTAGATCCACATGCTCATAGATAATAGAGAAAAAAAGTAAAGGAAGTTTCCTTTACTCTATTATCTAAGACATGCTTAACCTCGTGCTTAACACCAGATTGCGGTCATCTTTAGCTATGAATAATTGATTAGATGTTTTAATTGATGACCACACAGGCGTGGTTAAGCTATTATGGGCGTGGTTATGGGTTAATAATAACTGGGCGATTTTTTGCTGTGTTAGTAGTGTTCCCTCCTCATTTCTCTTTGTTGTATCGTTGGCTGATTAGAGGAGAAGCCAGTATAAGCTGGTGACAGTTTGTTCAAGGAAGATAAAGACACCAAGAGGAACAATATGGCAGCCCGAGGTGGCTCCGAGCCGGTAGGACCTGATGAACTCTGCGTTTGATTCAAACTATTTTAAAATCCTTCTTTTGATAGTTGATGCTTCACGTTTTTATAATGTCATCACAGAATCTAATGAAGAAAGATCTGTTTGGGATGTGGTGAGTTTTTTTTAGAGAGAGAGAGTTGAGTAGGACTATGGTGGGACAAAAAGGAATGCTATTATTATTGGTATGACTGTTTGTTCTGTTACAGTGACCCATATGTTAAAGTGACACTTAGAAGAGGAAAAAAGACAAAATCTAAACAGACAAAGACACGCCACAAGGTACACTAGGATACATTAATTTAATTGTATTTACCTGAACTTATTCCTACTCCCTCTCTCTCCTCTCATTTGCTCTTTCCTTCCTTCTCCTATCTTATCTGTTCCTTCTCTTCCCCCCCTCTCCCTCTCTCTCTCTCTCTTCTCCTTTAGACAAGAAATCCAGAATGGAGCGAGAAGCTAGAGTTTCCTGATGTAAGTTTATAAAAATAATATGTTATTACAGACCAGATGATTTATTTATTTTAAAGACAAAAGAATTGTGTTTGCATGCACACACACACACACACACCCATACATGCACTAACTGAAATTAAAATTAAGAGATAATAGATCAACATGTAGTCATGTACACAACAGTAGTATGGAGTAGTGCATTGGTGAGTTTGTGTTTTTAAGAGAGAGAAAGTGAGAGGATTAGTAAGATGTTTACTAATGTTAATTCCCAGTTATTGCTTCAGGCCAAATGAGCATAAAATTGATACCAAAACTACTATTATTATCATTAGAGCCAGTACCTAAATTATAATTACATGTTACGCCTCATTATTTTATCAATTTGTGTAGTAATGTCACACTAATATGCATGCACTTTGTACTTGTCTGTGAGAAAATTACTTAAATCATTTTGTACAAAAATTTGGGCCACATTCTAAATCATCTGTTTTTTTGCTATTACTATAGTACAAAGTCTATATAAATTATAAAAATATGCTGAGACTGTATCTATTTTATTACTCATTTATAAGCAAGCAAAAGTATTATACATGTTCATGTACATAGTTTATTCAGCTGAACAAAGATAACAAATATAAAATGTACAAGCACATTGTTACTATGGACTGAACCCTAAGCAATGATTATAGCTTTAGTTTATAGGTGTCTTCTGTGCTTGTCAGTCAAGCATATTTGGGAAGAGAGTGTGTGCAATTATTAGTATTACTTATTTTTGTGTACTGCAGACTCTGCATGTATGAAATTGCTGAATTGTTACTTGATTAGGTAGTAAACTCTTTCCTTTTCTATTATCAAGGAATGTGACATTATACTCTTGAGACATACTCTATTACACACCCAATCAACACACACACACACAAATTGGTGTCACACAGGCTCTCACCCACAAAGTAATGTCATGCAAGCTTTTCTGTGGTTTATCTTGAGTACGAAAAATTGAGTTTTATACTTTAAAGCATTTACTATTATTAAGAATTAATGCTGCATAATGTAAGAAAAGAGCATTTGAGAACAGTCTTTATGCTCTCTATTTGACACGCACAATTAAACATGCATGTACATGTACATGTTCAATAACATATCAACATGCACACACACTTATTCTTGTATGTTTATTGTTGTGTATTTATTACTGTATATACACATGTACATGTACATGTGTGATGCTACATATATAATGGTATTATTATAATGTTATTATACATGCAAATAATGTACATGTACATGTATGTTAGATATTCACGATGTGCTAATTAGTTTGATGGGTGAGTGTTAGTGTCCATTCATACTAGCTACTTATTGTCTGCCATATATGGACGTCATCACATGACCGATACTAAACATAATATCACACTGTTCCTGTCTTGTGATGTGATATCACTGGACTGTAGATGAGAGAGTCAGAGAGAGGGGAGAGAAAGAAAGTGACCTATACATGTAGTTACATCCTTTTGATTGATTACCTCACTACTTAATGTTATTGTTGGTCTGTCTCTACTCATACTGTTGTCTTGGCAATACAACCTCTTGTCATCACAACAAGTTTAGAATTTATCTTTCTTTTCCTTCCTTTTGCACCTTCACCCTTCCTCTCCCTCTCTCTCTTTCTTTCTCTTCTCTCTATCCTTTTCTCTCTCTCCTTTTTATAGATTAATCTAGAACATGATATTGTCCTTTTTGAAGTTTTTGATGCTAATAGATTGGTCAGTATAATCTCTTCTCGCTCAAAGTTTAAATTTTAAATTATTGATTTTCAGACACGTGACAATTTCCTTGGTAGAGTAATCATCAAACTGTCCCAGTATCCCATTGAGGTGGGTTCGGTTCAGTGGGTGTGGCTTGCATTTTATTTATTAATTACTTTAATTTTGTAGAGACAAAAAGTTGATATAACTCAACCAATAGTTCGACCACACAGTTTCGACCTCAGGGGAAGGAGGTAAGCACATGTACATGTAACTGTAACTGTAACTGTAATTATGTACATGAAGTATATTAGGCTGGGTTTACACAGCAGCACAAAATGGATCGTTTAAAAACAAAAAACAATACACTTTGAACACCGTTTTTGTTTCCATAGAGTTCTATCACTATTCTAGCGCCTTTTCATTTGTTTCCGTGTAAATAGAAACATAGAACAGGTGTTTCCGTGTAAACAGAAGGATAAAACAGGCACGAAACTATACTAACTATACTACGGGTTCCATCATTTTAGTTGCTGTGTAAACGTAGCCTTAAATTTGTTTTCAGTTGCAATGCAACGTTGATCATAAAAATTGGCACGTAGCTATTTAGTTAACAATTGGTAATAATTTACATTATCTTTTTCAAAGAAAAAAAAGCAAAAAAAACTATTATTAATATTCAGCAATAATCTAACTAAGAAACAAAATTAATGTAAAATGTAGCCTATTTATCCACTCAATCTTAATTAATAGCAGCATTTAATTAATAGTAGCATTTAATTAATGGTAGCATTTAATTAACAGTATCGTTATTGGTACTACCAAAAGTAGCAGCTGTAGCAATAGTAACTGGCTCTTGATCCTCTCCGGTCACATCATCCATTCTAACAGGAACATGACGTTCATCATATTCTTGTGGATTCTCCATACGATCAGCAATCCAACCATCATCATTACCGACCAATGGCTGATACTCTTCTTCACCTTCTTGATCTCTGATGGCCACTGGAATATTTCTGTTATGATAACGATAACATGATTTCATCATTTTGTATACCTGGTAGATTATATAAAATGGTATAATAATACCAAAAAATAGACCATTGACAGATGGAATTATAAATTGAGCAGTTGTTTCTATTGTGAACCAACCATCATGTAGGTCGATGTTTAAGATATCATTTGCAGCAATTATTGTTGAAATTCCAATGCCCATAGCTGCAGATAGCATTACAAATTCAGCAAAGTTGTGAATATTTTTTTGAAAGGGACGAAAGATGAGAACCGCCACTGCTAGTATAAAAGAAAAGCAAGTATGAAAAGTTGGTACTAGAAACATGAATAGTTCATCATCACCAATAACAAATTGACTCAAAGTGATCAGTCTTATCAGTAGGTACAATCCAGCAAAGAATCGATAATCAAAAGTATTCTCAGTTCCATTCTTATAAGGACCAGTAAACACATCACTCAGTGATATCAGTAGCTGTTTCCTCAAATGTAAACGATCCAATAACTTCTGAAACCATTGGAATCGATAAAAGATTAAATAAAGTGTTGGTAGCACTATCATAATCAGTAGAATTAAGATAGCAAATGATCCAGCAACAGCATGTACCCCCTGGAAGTAACCTTGTTTCTTATCGTAAAAGAATGTAAGATTACCATAGTTTTCATAAGGGCTTTGTGGATTATAAGTCAATATTCTAAAGGAAGTGGCAGCCAATTGAGTGAAGCAGAGTATATATATTGATGCTATAGAGTGAGTAAAAGATGGTTCAATGCCAGTCATATTCCAGAAACGAGCCATGCAACGATGAAATGGTCTAGTAATAAATACTACACACTTGAAACCTTTATCATACAATGTTATCCAAACATAGAGTAAGAGGAGGAGGAGCAATGGATAGAATCCTATCACATACCAAAAGGAGAATACTCCCAATGGTGTTGTATTAGTTGAAATACATAATGGATAATTATAAAGAAATGGAGTGAAATCTAAATTAAATATATTGCATGGTATTTCAGTTAGTGGCAATAATTGTATATAGTGTTCATTAAAATATGGGTAATCCTCATCATCATCATATTTATCATAATAATAATAAAAGTAATAAATATAATAAAGTATTGCTATTGATTGTGAATAGAATACCACTCCATTAATAGATCCATTGGTTAGTTGTATATTAAATATTATTATTAATAATACCATGACAGTGATAGGCACTATCTCTACTGCAATGATTATCAGCAAATCATACTCACCACATTCAACACACGTGTAGAGGTTATTCACTGGTACTCCCTTTGATGTACAGTTAGTGTAAAAATATTTTTTTGTGCTGTCGTAGCAATATTTTGAATTGTCACAACATTTGCTATATTCATTTTGATATCCACAACAAATATCCAAATCATCACAGAAAGAATAACCGAAACAAGGAATGTAGTATGCATTGTTGCAGAATGTTGGCTTCAAGGGAGGAGGAGGAGTAGGCTGATAAGGTTTGACACAAGTTCTGTTTTCATTATTAAAATGGTAGTCAGAAGCACATGTAGCCGTCACTGTTATATTTAGAGTACTATTGGTATTTGAGTCAAATGGTTTAATAAAAAGTGACAGTTCAATGAAACCAGCATAAATATAATCATCGAAACATTTTTGCACTTCATATTCCATAATATAATCTGTATCTGTACAGCCAAATCCATCTTTTAATGACTGTGATTTAGCTGTATAGCAATCATGAACAATGGAAGAATTAATACGAGTAATGCAAACTTGAAGTTCCTCAGGAAATAATGTAACATGAGTACAAATATCATATACAGAAGCATAAAATTTAACAGTCTCACACTGACACAAATCAGAATCAATATACTCACATAGCAAATTTTCTGAATTTTTTGGAATTCTTGGATCATTGCTGCATGATCCATAAGCAGACAAGAACAGGTTTGAGGCACTGTCTGGTAATGGTCTGTTAGGATCAGTACATGTAGTAACAGGAGGATTGAGACAGTCTTGTACTTCAACACATTGAAATACAATATTATAACTGGACCAGTCACTGAATGAAGGATGGTAATCATTTTGACATTTAATACTAACCACTTCACATGTGCTATTATCTATGATACCAATAATACTCACATTGTTCCTCTGTACCTGTTCCTCTAAGTTATAAGTGTATAGTGAATAGAGACCAGGATACAGATATATATCAATACCCTTTGAACAGTTGTCTTGTAGAGTTTTAATTCCATCCAGAGCATAATCAAGGGAAGCACAAGGTGTTTTAGCTCCTCCAGTCCAACAAGAGGTATTGTCAATACCACCATGCACATGCTGCCATGAGCTATCAACATAGATCCTACACTCCAAACCAGCAGCAGGCAATACTAGAACAAGAGGAAGGAGAAGGGCCACTCCATGAAACAACATTGTCATTGTTATAATAGTTTATTAACTAGTCTATGCATGGCTTCATTACCATACGTGTAGTAATTTGTGGTCTTATTTACTATGTGTGCATGAAGTTTATGAAATCTTTTTCAGTTGCAACGTTGATCATAAAAATTGGCATGTAACTGTTTAATCAATCATTGACAATGTTTCTCATCTTTTTTAAAGAAAAAATCAAAAAACTATTATTAATATTCAGCAATAATCTAACTAAGAAACAAAACAAAATGTACAGTGTAGCCTATTTATCCACTCAGTCTTAATCAATAGCAGCATTTAATTAATAGTGGCATTTAATTAATAGTAGCATTTAATTAATAGTAGCATTTAATTAATAGTAGCATTTAATTAACAGTAGCATTATTGGTACTGCCATAAGTAGCAGCTGTAGCAATAGTAACTGGCTCTTGATCCTCTCCAGTCATATCATCCATTTTACCAGGAACATGTTGTTCATCATATTCTTGTGGATTCTCCATACGATCAGCAACCCAATCATCATGATTACCAACCAATGGCTGATACTCTTCTTCATCTTCTTGATCTCTGATGGCCACTGGAATGTTTCTTTTATAATAACGATAACACGATTTTATCATTTTGTATACCTGGTAGATTATATAAATTGGTATAATAATACCAAAAAATAGACTATTGATAATTGGTATTACACTTGCAGCAGTTGCTGTTACTATGCTATCACCACTATCTTCAGGGTCACCATTCACTTCAAAGAGATAAGCTGTAGCCATAATGGTTAAAAATCCAATACCCATAGCTATAAACATAGCAAAAAATTCAGTAAAGTTATGAATATTTCTTCGAAAGGGACGAAAGATGAGAACCATCACTGCTATTAATAAGGAACAGCAAAATTGAAAAGTTGGCACTGAAACCATGAAGATATGATTAGTGCCAAAAATAAATTGACACAAAACAAGTATTCTTGCCAGTAGGTACAATCCAGCAAAGAATCGATAATCAAAAGTATTCTCAGCTCCATTCTTATAAGGACCAGTAAACACATCACCCAGTGATATCAGTAGCTGTTTCCTCAAATGTAAACAATCCAATAACTTGTGAAACCATTGGAATCGATAAAGGAGTATATAAAGTGTTGGTAGCACTATCATAATCAGTAGTACTAAGATAGCAAATGATCCAGCAACAGCATGTACCCCCTGGAAGTAACCTTGCTTCATATTGTGAAAGAACTTAGCATTGCCATAGTCTGATAGGTTATAACTCAGTAGTTTGAAGGAAGTGGCAGCCAATTGAGTGAAGCAGAGTATATATATTGATGCTATAGAGTGAGTAAAAGATGGTTCAATCCCAGTCATACTCCAGAAACGAGCCATGCAACGATGAAATGGTCTAGTAATAAATACTACACACTTGAAACCTTTATCATACAATGTCATCCAAACATAGAGTAAGAGGAGGAGGAGCAATGGATAGAATCCTATCACATACCAAAAGGAGAGCACTCCCAATGGTGTTGTATTAGTTGAAATACATAATGGATGATTAACAAATGGAGTGAAATCTAAATTAAATATATTGCATGGTATTTGAGTTAGTAGTACTGCATCTGGACTTGAAAAATCATCTTCATCATCATCATAATAATAGTAATGAATATAAATAGGATAGATTATTGCTATTGATTGTGAATAGAATACCACTCCATTAATAGATCCATTGGTTAGTTGTATATTAAATATTATTATTAATAATACCATGACAGTGATAGGCACTATCTCTACTGCAATGAATATCAGTAAATCATACTCACCACATTCAACACACGTGTAGAGGTTATTCACTGGTACTCCCTTTGATGCACAGTTAGCATAATAATGCTGGTCATACGGATGTGTTGCATTGTCGGAACAGCATTTTACATTGTCGCAGTCAGCATAATAAGGAATATTATATGCATTGTTGCAGACTTTGGGCTTGAAGGTTGGAAGTGTAGGAGGAGGAGGCTGTGGAGTTTTGACACAAGTTCTGTTTTCATTTTCAAAATTGTAGCCAGAAGCACATGCAGCTGACACTGTTATGTTTAGAGTACTGTTGGTATTTGAATCAAATGGTTTAATAAAAAGGGACAGTTCAAAGTCAGCATTAATATAGTCATCGAAACATTTTGGCACTTCATATTCCATTGTATAATATGTATTTGTACAGCTAAGTGACTGTGATTCTGCTGTATAGCAGTCATGAACAATTAAAGAATTGATACGAGTAATGCAAACTTGAAGCTCCTCAGGAAATAATGTAGCATGAGCACAACCATCATATACATAAGCATTAAATTTAACAGTCTCACACTGACACCAACTGTATTCATTATCCTCGCATAGCAAATTTTCGCTATTTGTTGGAATTCTTGGATCATCATTACATAATCCATAAGTATACAAGTACAGGTTTGAGGTACGGTCTGGTAATGGTTTGTTAGGATCAGTACATTTAGTGAAAGGAGGATTGAGACAGTACTGTACTTCAACACATTGAAATACAATATTATAACTGGACCAGTTAAATGAAGGGGGGTAATTAATATCACATTCGATTGTAGCCACTTCACATGTGCTATTATCTATGATACCAATAATACTCACATTGTTCCTCTGTACCTGTTCCTCTAAGTTATAAGTGTATAGCTGATAGTAACCAGGATACAGATATATATCAATACCCTTTGAACAATTGTCTTGTAGAGTTTTAATTCCATCCAGAGTGTGATCAAGGGAAGCACAAGGTGTTTTAGCTCCTCCAGTCCAACAAGAGGTATTGTCAGTACCACCATGCACATGCTGCACTGAGCTATCAACATAGATCCTACACTCCAAACCAGGAGCAGGCAATACTAGAACAAGAGGAAGGAGAGAGAGAAGGGCCACTCCATGAAACAACATTGTCATTGTTACAATTGGAAGAAAACACCTCTGTCCGTCACCAAAAAAGACACACCAAAATTTGTTTTGATCCAATTTGATTCATTTTCTTTGTCTTTTTTTTCTGCCATTCACTACATCAATCCAGAATGAATTCAATTGGAACTATAGCACAATAATACATTTTTTACTTTTTATTAACTGCTTCATTAAGCATTGAATACCGTATAGCCGGTAATTTTTGCGGGTTGCAAATTTTACAGATTTCTTTGGGATTTGTGAAAATAAAATCCACGAATATCAATTTAATACGGTATACCCAGTTACCCACATGGCACACGTGGTAGAATTCGCGAAATATAGGACCCATGAAAATTACTGGCTATACGGTAGTCTAGGTTTTTTCTCTGCTAATAACTGATATTAAGAGTACGTAATACCTAAAGTACATATTCCTCTTGCTGAATGTATAGAACTGATAGAAGTGTTTTTGTGCTATTTGTTTTCAGTTGCAATGCAATACAATGTTGATCATACAAATTCCCATATTATTAATTTGTCATTGGACATTATGTATTAAGTTACATGTACATGTGTATATGTTGTACTAAAGCTACATGTACATTATTTTCAAGCAATCAAACTCAGCTACATATTATATATTTTTTATTCCTCCATTAGTGCTAAATCACGTGTCAGTGGCTCTATAAAGCTCAAGCTTCTCTTCCATAATAACCCACTGCCATCAAGTGGAGGCAGTTCCAGTAGTATCAGTAGCAGTGCTGGCCCTCCTCTACCACCTAGAGGGAGAATAAGGTCCTCCTCAGGGAACCTACCCCGTCAACAGAATATTGGTAAGGAGAGAAAGAGAGAGAGAGAGAAAGAAGAATGTATACATGTATGCTTGTACATATTGTATTGGCTTCATATTTCTTGGTCTGAAATTTTGTAATTTTGTTGATTAATATGATCATAAAATTGTGGGCTATTACATTTACATTGCTTTGTTAGAAGTGAATAGTTCTTCAATAATTCAATATTTTTGTTTGCTCCACCTTATATTGATGATTCCCCTATAGGTCAGTTGGTACAAGGTGCTGCTGGTCCAGTTACTGCCTCTGTGTCACCTAACAGCTTAGCACTTAGTAGACAAGTAATTAAATAACTTATTATTAATTATATTAGTATGATACTATTACTTTTAATTTAATAAATGAATAAATAAAAGATGCTATTATACTTTTAATTTTTTATTGTGCTTGCTATTAATATTAATTTTTTATATTATTTTAAAATTATACTATTTTTAATTTTTTTCTAGTCTACAGTCCAAGGAGATGGTTGGACAATGGAAGAGAGAGAAGAAGATGAGCCTCCACTTCCTCCTGGCTGGGAAGCACGTCAGGTACGTACATGTACATATATAACCCTCGGCTCATGTGACTTTATGCCCCGCCCACAATAGGACGCAAACGGAAGGACATTCTACGTAGACCACGCCAACAGACACACCCAGTGGGTGAGGCCTGTTGCTGGTCATGTTCCTGATATTTCGGCTCAAAGGAGAATAGAGAGGGACAGGAGGTTTCAACAGACCATGCGTAGGAGGATACCCACTTCTGACGTAAGACCACACCCATTTTAATTGTTATTAATTAATTAATTTATTTATTTTTTAGAATGGTTCTTCTACTCCGTTGGGTTCAATGAGGTCTATAACTCCATCACCAACTCCTTCTCCAAGATCAATAGTGAGTTTGTTTGTTATTGTTGTTGTTATTGTTATTGTTGTTGTTTTGTTTTAGGCTCCTTCTCAAGGCTCACCTGGCCGTCCAGTCAGTGCTGCTGATGTAAGTATTGGAAAAAAGAGAGAGAGCTGTCATTTTATCAGATTTATTTATTTGATTATTTCAATGATCCTTATCTCTCTTTTTCCTCAGAGTCTTTCTCAAAGGCTGTCCACTGCTAGTTTATCAGGAACTGATGATCTTCCTCCTGGCTGGGAGATGAGGACAGCAGAAAATGGCAGACAATTTTATGTTGATCACAACACTCGCACCACACACTGGGTAAATACTAGCATATACATCATGAACAATAATAATTGTGTAGAGGGATTTTAAGTACCAGTTATTGAGTAGCTTTAAAAATTCATAATAAATTCAAACTTGATCAGAATCAGCTCAAACTTACTACACAGCATAAAAGTAAATGTATCAAAAAATTATAAAAAATAGAGAATTCTTTCCTAGTCATTTTTGGAAAAAATTGGGCCAAAGTCCCTGTACAATAATACAGGGACTTTGGCCCAATTTTTGAGTAACTTGAAAAGTTGTAAAAATACTAAAATCAGCTCAAACTTTCTGCACAACATAGTAACATCACTTTTATTTATTTACTTTATTTTTAATTAGACTCGTCCAAGACAGAGGGCACTCTCCACAACCCCTGCAGTATCACCTGGCCCAAGACCCTCAGCAGATGAGACCCCGCCCCCTCTACCTCCTCCTCGTCAGTCAATACGCCCACAAAGCTCCATACAGTCGACCCCTCCCCCACGTGCTTCAATAACACCCGCTACACAAGCTTTGAACACACCCATGCAAGTTCCAGTCACGCCCACTAGTAACGGAGGGAACGGGAGGGGAGGGGGCGGTACCCCCGGGGGAGGCACCCCTGGTACCCCCGGGGGGTCAAGACCGAGGACTGAAGACCTTGGAGACCTTCCGGTTAGTGAAATAAGAGGACTATTTTGTTTGATAATTTTATTTTTCTTTTTTCTTCCTCATAGCCTGGCTGGGAATTGAGAATCCTACCTGATGGACGCAATTTCTTCATTGATCATAGTCAGTTCATGATTATTATTATTATTATTATTATTATTTTTTTTTTTTTTATTTATTTATTATTTCAGATACTCATTCGACTCAATGGGAAGACCCAAGACTAGTTAAGACAAGCGCTAAACAATCAGTAAGCATATAATAATATCAATCAATGAGCCACTGCATGACTTTCTCTTAGAAATTGACTTATGACAGAAACTACAAAATGAAATATGATAGTTTCCAGAAGGCACTAGCTCAAAAGAGACCCGTGAGTGTACATCTCATCTCTTCCCTTTTTTATAAATTAGTTACTTTTTCTTTTATTTCTCTCCCTCCCTCCTTCCCTCTCCTAATTCTGTAGGAGGGTCTTCCGAGACAGATAGAGATCCCAGTGAGGAGGGACCATCTATTTGAGGACTCTCATCGCAAGATAATGACGATAAAGAACAAAGACCACCTCAAAGCTCGTCTTTATATAAAGTTCCCCAATGAGACCGGACTGGATTACGGTGGACTGGCCCGGTAATTTTAAACTGATTCCTTGAATTAGAATTTTTATGGTACGTCTTCTAATTTAGTGAGTGGTTTTTCTTGCTGTCACATGAAATGTTCAATCCTTATTACGGACTGTTTGAATACTCAGCAAGGTAATTATTTAGACAATAATTCTTGATTATTTATCTCCTCTCTCTCTCTCTCCCTCTCCCTCTCTCTCTCTTTCTAGTGATAATTACACACTACAAGTTAACCCAGATTCTGGTATGATTAATGAGAATCACTTGGATTATTTCAGGTTTATCGGAAGAATATTTGGACTGGCCATCTACCACAAAAAACTCATAGACGGTAAGGAGTGAGAAAAAACATATTTGATGCTAACATAATTTTAATAAAATTTTTACATAAATAAAAATTATGTACATACATGTACACATTGGCTGGAGGTACTTTTGACTTAATTTGAACTATTTTTGCATTTTTTAGCATTCTTCGTTCGCCCGTTTTATAAAGTGATACTTGGTAGGCCAGTGGTCCTTGCTGATATGGAGGCAGTTGATACTGAGTTTTACAATTCAGTAAAGTATATATTGGATAATGATCCTGAGCCTTTGTGTCTCACGTTTACAGCTAGTAGAGAGTTCCTGGGGCAGGTTTGTATATTTAATTTTTTATAATAAATTTTAAATGTAAAATACATGTACGTGCATGTTCTTAAATGTACAATTAATATAATAATCACTTTTAATGAATTTATAAAGTTGCTCCAAAATTTGACGAAACGCCCTGTACTGTAGTACAGGGTATTTTATCAAAAATGGCTAGGGGAGAATTTTCCATTTTAATAATTTTTTCCGGTGCATATACATGTACTTATGTTGTGTAGAAAGTTTGAGCTGATTCCGATCAAGTTTGGATTTTTTTATGAATTTTTAAAGTTACTCAAAAATTGGGCCAAAGTCCCTGTACTATAGTACAGGGTCTTTGGCCAAATTTCGCCAAAAATGACTAGGAGAGAATTCTTCATTTTTGTAATATTTTTTGATACATATGCATGTTCTTATATTGTGTAGCAAGTTTGAGCTGATTCCGATCAAAATTGGATTTTTTATGAATTTTTAAAGTTACTCAAAAATTGGGCCAAAGTCCCTGTACTATAGTACAGGGTCTTTGGCCAAATTTCGCCAAAAATGACTAGGAGAGAATTCTTCATTTTTGTAATGTTTTTTGATACATATACATGTTCTTATATTGTGTAGCAAGTTTGAGCTGATTCCGATCAAAATTAGATTTTTTATGAATTTTTAAAGTTACTCAAAAATTGGGCCAAAGTCCCTGTACTATAGTACAGGGTCTTTGGCCAATTTTTGCCAAAAATGACTAGGAGAGAATTCTTCATTTTTGTAATATTTTCTGATACATATACATGTTCTTATGTTGTGTAGAAAGTTTGAGCTCATTCTGATCAAATTTGAATTTTTTTATGA